GAGATCAGTCGTTGCAATTACTTTTTTTTTGTGTGTGTGTATGTTTATTTTAAGCTCCCCATCTCTCTGTCCACCACTTGTCTTGGTCAAACCTGCTGATTATCAGCTCATGTTTAGAGAAATCTCATTCACGAGTCACTTTGCATGGTCCTTCTATGGCGAAGTGGAGGTGTGGAGAGGGCGTGACGGGTTCATGTGCGCAGATACTAGCTGCAGGTAGCTGCAGAGGGGATCTATAAAGCACAGACTGCGTGATGGAAAACGCACAGAGGGTTTTCTAAATCTGGAGTTTGTGTGGCGCACGCCTCTGGTGACCACTAGACACTAGCTTTGAGGTACTTCTTACTACTAATAAGAAAGAAATAATATTCTGATATGATGACAATGTTGATGCCTTTTTTTTTTTTTTTATCTTATAAACTATACATTTTCGGAAGGCACTGGGGCAATCCTACGTCATGGTGAGGGTCCCTGGTCACTATGGGCACTTCACTTTGCGTCAGTTCACTTCCTGGCCACTAGTAGCACTGCGTTGCAAATTGTGATACTAATAGGCCCTTCGCATGCTTCTGGCACTTGGGCCTTTCATGGGAGGAAGTCAGCCCTCATAGTGTTGCCCAGGACTTTACCTCATAATCAGGAATACAAAAATCTTTTACGTCATTGTTTTTCTAAAGGGATATTAAAAATAACCACTCAAAAAATGTTAATGCTAACCCTAATATATTGTTTCACCTTTTTCCATTTAAACATTTTACGTTAAATTAGATAATATAAAGAGAGCATTCGTAAATTATAAATTACAAATGCAAACAATTAAAATTTGTGATTATGTTGTGCCGAAAAGATACTGTGCTCAAAGATAATGTTCACTTATGTTTTAAAAATATTCACATCTACAATATCTGCATATGAATATTTTATGTTGTATTTTCAGTTTTAATGGCTGGTGTACAGAAAGCTTTAATAGGCGGCATAAATAAATGAATAAACACATTTTTTTACAACCTTATTGTAACTAAGTGCTATTTAAATACAGTCCATTAGCTCAGCCCTTTATGACTCTTTGAACAAGTTAGCACCAGAATCCATTTATATTTTATATTTTTATAGTGGCTAAAGGACTGCTGTAAATGTCTGGTGTTTCTGAATCAAAACAGTAGATGCAGAATACATAGTTTTCTGACCCGAATAGAGCACATTCAGCATACCATTTATTGGGCATTCTTTATGGGTAATCCTTCTTGGAGCTGTGAGCTTCACTATAATGATTTTCTTCTTTCAATGGCCTCTGGGGGGCAAACATAACACTCTACAGTAGATTCTCACTGGTGCTGTAACATACTTTAATCTTCTGCCTCCTACGACTATTATGAGCTGAGATTATTACAAGTGTCTTTAAACACCATAATACTTAGACCACCTGTTAAATAGAGCATACAAGTAAATGTGTATGCATCTTCATAGGCTATGGACCAGACGCACACTTCACAACTATTAGCATACTGCAGAGGTGGCATATATTAGCATACTAATTAGATTAAAAAGTTAGTTACTTCAAAAAGACCAGATGGAAGTAAAACAAGAAATAAAATGTTACATACATACATATATACATACAAGATTCAAAACTTTTAAACATTTATTTTCATGTTCTCTAGTTGGCCTTGACTATACAGACAAAGTAAACAAAAGCACTCAGTGAGATCTTAAGAACTTAAAAGAGCTCACATGCCATCACAATGCCCAATGAAGACTGCATGCATACAGAGTAAAGTCCTGGGTTAAACCTTATACGTCTGGCAGAGGCATGGAAAACCCAAAAGCCACCGTAATGCAACATTAGAGTGATAAATAACATAATCATAAAAGTAAAACAGAAAAACTTAACTTGTCACTTACATGGATTCTTCCGTCCATCTGAGCAGGTCCATCCTCAGCCAGCCTCAAAATGTACAGCCCCATGTTGTACTCGGTCCCTCCTCTGAGACTGAAGCCAAAACCCCGGGGACCCCGCTCCAGCTCAATGGTCAGACAGCCCTGCACACAAGAGACACTGCTTATATGGGGTACAGACTGTGAACTGTCAGTCTGAACTGTGTTTTGTAACTTCATTATCAAGGAATGGGATAACCTGAATTCATGATATGTGATAAGAAGTTTTATAATAATCATATCACTCAGGTCCTCATTGTTTTGATCTTCCAATGCAAGTCATTATCATTTAAAACTGAGTCCTAGTCACAAGTCCAGTCCATTTAAAACAAGTTTTCTTATAATCACATCAGCTGTGTTGTCTCAGTGGACCCTTCTTTCAATTTGCATAGCTTTCAACTAACTTTGAACATGAAATAATCCTTTAAAAACATGTTCTATCTGCCAATATAAAGAAGTCTGCAGTATAAAGACTTGAGATCTGTCACTAGTCAAATCCAAGTCTTTGGTCCATGAATCCGAGTCCTCTTGCCTGAACAGGAAAGTCGAGTCATGAGTCCCTGCCCTCACAAATTTACAAGTCAGAGTCAAGTTCCAAGTCATCAGTCATTATCGCAAAAGAAAACTGAATTCTGTGAAGTGGACTTTTGAGACGGGACCCACTGATACAGCTGAGGTATTATACAGACATTATATTTATCTCCCTCAACAACTCTTTCAACAGCACTTAAGCACTTAATTAAGGTAGCATAGTTGGACCAGATGGAAAAAGAGGTTTGATGACATCTATCCTCGTTTTCTTATTCACCAATAGTTGAAACCACGCAGTGAAGATTGTATTAGATTAGACTATTATATCTTATTATTCTATTCATCGGCGAGTATTGTGTGACCTGCACCTACTTGCCACGGTAACATGTACATAGAATGGGATGATGTAGTTACCTGGTTTGGACCCGTAACACACAATGCCCCCTGTTCTCCGGCTTTCTGATCCGACCAGGTGAGGCTGTCGATTTTGTCTTCCAAGTCCAAGGTTGAACTGGAAACAAATAAAACAAATTGCCTTATGTTCTTATGATGTTTTTTAATAACACACAAGACGCTGCTGGCCATGAAGCAAAAACAATAAGTGTTATACTAGGAATGTGCAAGGGGGGAGGTGGGCGGTTTACTGCCAGAAGAATTAGAACATTGCATTTTCTGTTCTATTATTTTCTCATTTATTGCTTTCCTATGCCTTCCCCACGTAATCGCTGACAATTTGGAGCATCAACTCAAAGCACTAACAAGGGACACAAAACTAAGTAAACAAACACATCAGTCAAAAAGACAGAAAAAAAAAAAACAAAAAAAACCACAACAATAGTAATAGTAATAATAATAGTTTGAAGAAACATTAAGTGGTTTAGACATTAAATCCATGTGTGTGATTGCATCCTCTTCACAGTTGGATTTAGCTCAGACTTCACCCCACTCACAGGAACAGGCTTGGTGTTGTAAAGAAGTATTTGGCTTTCTGACAACTTTTAAGAGCAAATGTCATCAACTTTTCAATAACACTACAGAAGTGTAAATGAACTTTTATTTACCCTATAACAAACAAGATCACACCACATGCATAACGGCATGCTTAACAATGATACTAACCCATGGAGCATGCTTCTGTGCTGAAGTGCTGGACTCTGTTTGGCTGAGCTGGCTCCTGATGGAGGTCCTTTATATTCTGAAAGTCAAAGCACATCTATAAGGTCTTGCTAGTAGGATGAAAAAAGTTCAATAATACATACATCTTATAATGGTTAATTTCCAACTCTAAAATGTAATTTTTATTACCTGTAACTTGTCTCCATAATAGATATATTTAATACCCTACACTGGAACATTCTAGGCAAAGCAATACAACCTCCATGGACAAAAGCAGCTGGCAGACTCTTCACCAGTAAAATTACATAGTGCACAAACTGTAAAGGTGCATTCCTCACACGTGTTTATTAATAGAACCATTTTTATAAGACTTATTTGTATAGTAAAAAAGTATATGTGACTACTGTGGTCTGCTCCTCACCATCTTCTGGTATGACAGTGAGGGTGACCACATGCCCCGCCTCCTTGATGAGCTGGACGATGTCGCTGTGTGAGAGCTCGATGATGGAGCGGCCATTCACCGCAGAGATCCGGTCCCCCACATGGAGCAGGCCACAGCGGTCAGTGGGGCTGCCCTCGATTATACGCCCAATCTTGTGTGGTATGACTGGAAAATAAGAAGAGACAGGAATCAATAGGTTAAGCCAGGCCTTGGACACAAAAAGAAATGGACCATATAAATAACAAAGCAGTGTTATATTCATTTGTATTGGTAAATTATGCAGGATGTGAGATCAGATGATTGCACTAAAACAAATATAAACCTTGAAAGTTGCTGATTTTTTTAAACCAGGTATAAAGTGCAATCAGCAGAGACAAGAGTATATTGTACAGTGCACTGGACAACATAAAGTGAGCATTTATAAATAATGACTGCTAAATATAACATGTTCACTGAATGGATGGAAATGGAAGAAACATATAGCAATTTAATTACAACTTGTACTTGTGCGATTGACATGCATATTTACAACATAATAATTGATTAACTCCTATGCCTAGGTGCAACAGCACATGCCTAAATGAATGGCATATACTGTATTTCAAGCAGCATGAGACACAACAATCACAGTGTATTTCACTTTTAGTATAGCAGATAAATACAGCACTTAAAATCATTACAAAAAAGGTTTGTAATATTTAGATACATACAGTGTGAACATGCAAAATTACACCTGGGTTGAATCAAACCATTGTACTGGGTAGAGAGTTCTAGCCACCCACTGTATTCTTCATACCAGAGCAAATGCTGCTATTACTACTGATATAATGACTATAATTTTGCAGTAGCAAAAATAGATTAATGGGACCACCACAACTACAAAATCAAGTTTGTGGGAGAAAATAGCAGGACAACATGCAATCGGTTTAATTACTCAATCAGGTTCAGTTGGCCTTTGACAACAGTTAATAGGGCTACAGTAGAGATAGATCCATCTATTGTTTGGCCGATATATCAGATTGATATTTACACTTTTTCATGCATTGGCTATCGGCTTTAAATCTATATTTTATTCTATTGCCCTGATCCAGTACTGGTATCAGACATCACTGATGCTGAAAGATTTGCTGGATTGGATATTGGCTTCCAAATGCTGGTTCTGACGACATCCTGGCTGAACGTATAATGTAATGTAATAAGACTTTTTACTGGTGGTAGTTGGCCTAGAAAGTCTCAGAATGTTTTAACTTCTGTTTACATAAATTAGTACAATAGTTACTTGAAGGATAAGTAACAGCTACATAACACATTTGGATCAGTTTTCTTATTGTATCTTATTTTATTTTTATTTTACAGAAATTAATGCCAATTTCAGTCTCTGTGCTAGTATCGGTTGAAATTGGGTATTGACACATACTTAAAGCGATAGTATCATTACCGGTACTGGAAGTGAAAAAGTTGGATCATGCATTGCTAAAAATGTTTAAAACTGGCCTTACATGGCTGCTCTGGGTTCTATAATACCATTATCAACATTGGTCAACTACAGTCTGACATTGGTCATTCTGTGCTTATTAGTATGAATAATAGTATGTTTGTGTGTCTCACCTCCATGTGGCGGTTTGCTCTTGGACGTGAGGATGACAAAGCCAAAGCCCTCGGACTCTTTGCGGTGTAGTGTTATGTCAAAGGACTCATGGTCGATGGCGTTGGGCATGGGCAGGTGAGGTAGTTTGGGAGAACCATTGACCAGGACTGGAGTCATCTCCCTCATCTCCTCCTCAGTGGCATCTAGAAACAAAGGAATGTTTATTTCTTTCATCTATGTGTATGTATGTGCATGGGTGCGTGAGTGAGCACATTGTTAAAGCCTTCAATATGGTCCCAAATCTGTGTGTTTATTCAAAGCAAAGACACAAACAGACGGCCATTCAGATCTGATGCAACAACTGAGGCTTTGCTACTCATTTGTCCTGCCTCAAGAAAATAATGTTCAGACAGGATATTTTTCAGAGTCAAATTAGTTCATTTTTCACCGCTCCACTCCATTGCAGTTGCAATTTTGTTTTCTCAAAATACCCAGGTCATTTTATCAGCTTAATTGTTTGGGAAATTGGTAGATAAAGAAATATTGCTTGCAAATCTCATGGTAAATGGACACATTTTGATCTAGTGCTTTTCCATTTTCAAGGCACTCAAGGCGCTTTACATGAAGAAACCACTGACTCATTCACACACACACACATTCATGCACCAGTGTATGCAGACACTTGGGGCAAGTTGGGTTAGGCTTTATTTGTGTGAGCTGGAATTGCACCACCAACCTGTCAATCAGTGGATCAGACTGCTCTAACAATGATGCTTAATGTCAAATGCGGAATTCAAAGCGCCAACCTGTGGATCAGTGGACAAACACCTAGCCTGCTGCCTGCTACAATGGTAAATCATGTGATAAAAACTACTTAAGATGTGCCATGTAGTTTTCTAGCAGAGGGTTTGCTAGCTGTTAGATGTTATAGCTTTTTCTGGAATGTGGTGCCTCCAGGCCAAATTACATGTCAGGTCTGTGGAGATGTGGAGAGGCAACCTCCCTCTGAGTAAGAATGCAGGTTTTTCACCTTATTTTTGGCAATAAAAAATACATGTAATTGAATAAATGCAAGATACTGTATGTTTAATGCCATACTGTGGAACACTTGAGGTTAAGACATCACCATGGAGACGAGCACTTGGTGTACCCTCCACCAGATTAAAAAGCTAAACCAACTAATGAGTCCTGTCCTGCCTTCCTCCTCACCTCTGTAGATGACCTTCCTGCGTACGGTCAGCAGCACGTGTCCATTGCGAGCGGCGTTGGTCATCAGATCCAGGACCTGTTTGTGCGATCGTCCCTTCACCATGACGCCATCAATACCTATGAGCTCATCGCCCGCTCTCAGGCGCCCGTCCTTCTCTGCGGCTCCATTTGGGACAATGGCTCCAATGTAAACCTGGGGAAACACATTCTACACAACACAAACACAGAGGATTTAGTTCAATCATAGGATAAATACAGAGGTCAAAATATGAATGACTGAGGCAACAACACAATATAAAATATAATTCATGATTACTTAATTGTAGCTTTGTTTATCTTAGCAGCTGCCAGAAAATGGGCAAATGTATTCATACAGATATGTGTAATGATATTCCTTCAGATTCACTGTACGCCTTGTGAAACACTCCCACATTGTGCTGTTCATTACTTTGAAGAAGACTTGTTAGAGACAGAAGATGTTGGTGTGTTCTTATCTTGGATCGCCTTGGATATTACTGAGGCTTTTTAACTGCACAATTGTCAAGGCTCTGGAGTTTTGGTGTCTGGCTACACATGATCCATATTTTTCCTCAAACAACTGTGTCCTTTTACATGTTTCCTTTTCAATATAATTTAGTGACATGTGCATTGCTTCCTGGCCCTTGCATTTTTTAGAACTTACCGGCTGTTGAGGACCCTCTCCTCCAAGAACTCGAAAGCCAAAGCCAGTCTCAATATCTCTTTTTAGAAAAACATCTATGTCTTTGGTGTGAGGTTCTGTGAACATATAGATACATATAATAACCTGGTTATAACATTCTATGTACAATAGGCTGATGTATCGGCTTACGTCTGCTGTCCAACAGGGCTTTAGACTTGAGGTACGTCTCTTGGGCGTCCCGTTTTGGGGAGTCTATGGAGCGGAGGGTGCTTGTGTTGGAGTGGTACTGTAAGGCCTGAGGGGCAGAGTCTACCACACTGTCCAGAGTCTCTGTGCTGGCCGTCATCTCCTGTCTCTGTGAAGCAAAACAAACACATACAACTTATTTTATGTGTGTTCCCCCCATGGATTTAAAAATATGAAAAATTAGGACTGTTGTCATAGCGATAAACAAACATGAAATATTATATCTTTTGAATGGGGAAAAAAGTCCTCAAAATATTGTATAACAAGAAGCTGAAACCCATGAATATGGAACAGGCATGTCCAAACTATGGCCCGGGGGCCAAATGCGGCCCTCAGACAAATTTTTCTTGGCCCTCAGACTTCCAGGTAAATTTACCCAAATTACCTTGTATCAATTAAAAAATACTTTTTTACTGCAAGTTTTTTGAAAATCTACTTTGATAAAGCTAATATTTAATATTTAGACTGTGGTTTTAAGGATCTTAGCGTGAATAAAGACTGATGGCTCATTCTAACGTGTTAAACATGCACATGTTTGAATTATTCACTGTACTGAGCACCAGTCTACAGCCCTTGATCGGCCCTCTGCTTCATCTGTGTTTAGATATGTGGCCCTTGATGAAAAAAGTTTGGACACCCCTGATATGGAAGATGTACTGCAATAATGCAATGTGCTTCTTTATTAAAAGAATAGAACTTAAGTGAATCTAATTAATTTAAGGAATACGTTCATGTTTACACATACTATCAACAACTATTACTGCTACTACAACTTTTTTCAAAGTACTAGTACGGCAAACTTTATGCATTTAGAAAGTTATTCAAAAATGTGATTTAATAAACTTGTTGAGTTTGCGCTATTGTTTGGTTCACAGATCAAACATTAGAAACTCTCTGCCTCTTCAGCTCATTATCTCAAACAAGTAACTGCAGAAATAAAGAAGATAGATGAGTGAAATAAGAAAGGTCATTTTACTGTGACTGTGTTCATTTGGCACACCCCATATTGTCTGGAGAGCTAAGTGATGGGATTTAGCCAGACAATTTAAAATCCATGGGAAACCAAAAGATTTCCCTTTTGGCTGTGACAGGCCTATTCAGAATGAAAGGGCAACTTCTTTATCTTAAACTGTTGCATTAATAATAGCACCATATCTTAAGAGGCTCATCCACGCTTCATTACCATGGCAATCCCCTGACAATAGCCCCAAGTATACCGATACTGAATGAAAGTAATTAAGAGCGTTTTTCAGTGCAAACAATGGGGAGGAACCAGAAACATAATCAATATTCAAATGTATTGCTATCATTTAATTTGCAACAGAGGCTAGTTAAGCTGAAGGACACAAAGCTCTACAATTAGACTCCAAGCACTAGTCCCAATAGGCCATGCATATTAGAGAAATAAGAAGAAATAGAGTTATACTTACTGGCTTTAGACTCTTCACAGGCGAGGTCTGACCTACAGGGGAAAAAAAACATTGAAGGCAATATGTTCAAAATAGATAATGCAAAGAAATACGTTAGTCATTGTATCATTGTCCAGCAGGTGGCACTGCTTCTCTGACAATCATAAAAGAGAGCAGAGAGAGGCAAGGGGAGTCTATAAGGAAACCTACAACCTTGTGCAATTAAAGTTACATAGAAAATATAAAGGTATTTCATGTGGTAGAGTGGTATGGAAGCCCTCAACATGAAAGCCCATTAGAAAGTCATGCATATAATTCAATGAGCGATGATTCCCTTGCTACTTGCTTTTCACTGTATAATACACCCACATGTTCCATCTTCCGAGTGCTCAGATTGTTCCCCACAGATCATCTTTCTCTCCCCTCACTAGCACTTACTCCCTTACCCCCTCCAGCATTAACTAGATTAACAAATAGTCGTCTGGCATCCTACGGGGCGAGGAACTAACACTTGGACTGATGAGGGGTTAATGGACCTTGAAGTATAAAGGGGAATTTACAGCTCTTTTCCATTTCACTGTCTAAAGCTTCACTATGGAACTTCTCAAGGCATGGAAGGGAAACAGTAGACACACCTGTGTATAACTTAAGGTATATAACATCATTTGACACTATTTTGATCACTTTCTTATTTCTAGCACCAACATTATCTCAGTCCAGTGACGCTGTCCACTCATACAGTAAATTCACATAAATATTTCTTCCGTGCCAGTGGGTGTGCTCTAATGAGGGCTGGCATTAGCAGTTCAGGACTAGGGAGGTGTGAGGTCATGCATCACATCAGATGGTGGTGCTGCAGTGTTAAAGAAAGGAACAAAATAATAATAATAAAAAAAAATTGTTAGGTGGGTCCTCAAAATGCATGATAATGTGGTTAGTTTGAGGGAGTTGAGAGAAGGATGGAGTAAGAAAAGACTAAGAGAAACAGAAATATTATGCAGAAACCTTTAATTATACAAAAGCAGAATAAGTCAAAGGTGGAAAACTGGTGTTAAGCCAAAGGGATAACTTTTGAAACTTGAAATCTTTTTTCATGTTTCAGAGCTTCAACCTGAACTTATCTCATACATGTGACTTGACCCAGACATTGATTTGAAATTGTATTGTGTTCAGTATTTACTCACATTATTGCTATTGTGTTATCATTAAAAAGAAGCAATGCATGGCTTAAAAAATTGAGTTTCAGTCTTCTTCTCCACTCCAACTCATTTTGCCTCAGACCCTGCATCGTACAATATTAAGTGGACTTGCATCCACTGATTATAACACTGTGTTTCTTGAAGCAGGTAGTAATATATGAGTTCTTACAAGCTTATAGTTGTGTCTAAGATTATATGTATACAGCACTAAAACAAACACAAACATGTGCTAGGATACAGTTGATGGGAAGGTCTAAGATATGGCTTGAAGGAGGAGCCCAGAAGGGTTAGCCACTCTAGCCATTTAGCTGCAGCTGTTATAGTCCATAGATATAGAGGCATACACAGATCCCCTGTGATCTGCTGATGATCAAAGCTTAACCAGAGTTCATCGACTTGTGCTGCCGGTCCCTGGGGGTGCAGGAGATGCATGTGGGAGACGTTTAAAGGGTGCTTACCCACCTTCCTCTCTGTAGGAGTCAGACACAGGCTCACACTTATGTAATTTCTCCTTTAAGACTTGTTACAGACTGCAGTATTCCTCAAACAGGAGCTGTCATAGAGCAGGCTGAGGGGAGTGGAAGTGCACAGGGGAAAATGTGAACAATGCATTCATATTCCTGATGTGCATGTCCCAAAGCTGCTTATGTTCTTTTAAGATGCTATAAAAAGGCCAAGTATATAGGAGTGCAGGTGAATCAACTCAGTATTTACTGCAGTGACAAACCACAAACCAGGGGCCTGAATAACAAGAGTGCTTGTGGTCAGTCAAAGTCCCCCATCATACCTCCTGTCAGGATCAGCACGCTGACCCCACCTCCCGCGAGCACCGCTGAAGTTGCAGTGACAACAAATTACACACACACAAAAGACATTCAAACACAACATTAAATAGATGAAAAAGAAACACAGCAAGGCCTGTCACAGTGTTTATACTCATGCTGAGAACTCTTTCTTATAGTCACAGTGGTCATGACGCAAGTAGGAGATGACGCACTAACAAAATGCACATTTATCATACTCAAATTATTTGCATCTCTCTTGGCTACTGTGCAGTCGCACCCCTGATGAGGTTTTGTTTCATTTTAGAAGATTAGGTAGCTAAATTAGAATAAAGTAAAATTACCTGCACACATTAAGGTTTTAAAATAACATAGCAGTTAAGTCATGAAATTACAATGGAGACTTCTCCCATCTAGTGCCCCACATAACTGTCTCAGCCAATCATTGTTCAGTTTACAACTGCACTGCATCTGTGTTCAATCTATTAAATTCCCAGGCTATGAAGAAAGTATTTTAAAATATTATATTCTATTCGACAGAGTAATTTAAGGAGTTTAAGATGTAACATTTTACCCTAGTCTTTTCTCAATATTTTTCTTCTATTACTCCTACCTTCAGATTGGAAGAGCTAATGATAAACATTTCTTGAAGTACAATGCACCTATATTTACTCCTCTAATTGATTAAAATAATATGTGACAGGCCCATATGTACAGAAACAGACACACATAGACATAAGGACAGACATATTGACAGGAGATACAGACAGGTTGTTCACAGTTCCTCACCTCCTCGCAGCACTAGCACATTGACCTCACTGCCCACCGGTAGATCTTTGAGAATGTCTACCACTTGTGCGTGGCTCAGAGTCTGTACGTTTTGCCTGTTGATCTCCTTAATCACATCTCCTTTCTGCAGTCCGCGGCACCACTGCGCGTCCAGAATCATCTTCACCTTCTGACCCAGCGGGCAGTCTGCTATGGCAAACCCAAACCCACCGGGTCCCTTGACCAACGGGACACTGACCAGCTCTGGCTGAAGCATTGTCCCAGCATTGTCCCCCTGTCTCCCGTTGGACATGGCGGCTACCACGGGGCGACCGCTGGCATCCGTGGTGACGTAGTGGAGCTCTTGAGAGGAACCATGCAGAACATCCCCCTTGACCAGCAGAGGTTGTCCATTTATGAGGGGCACGGCAGTGACCACTTCTCCCCCGTGGAGGGCAGGCTGCGGCTGGGACGAGGGAGGGGGAGGAGGAGGGGGGAGAGGGTCATCACTGGTTAGGTCCACATCAGGAGGCAGAGGGTATCCGCGGCAGAGAACCATGTCCACGTACTGGTTTATGGGGATAGACTGAAACATCTGGACAACGTCTGGGTGGGTTTTCCCTAGAACACAGAGTCCATTGATCTCCACAATCACATCACCTGAAATGAAACAGAGGAAGAAACATAAGTTAAGAGTAAGAATTAGGTAGGAAAATCAGTTTGTCAAACACCTTTGACAACTACAAGCTGGAAAATTTTAGATAAAAATTGTATGCATAAAAATGAGAAGTCTCGATTTCTGATTGATAGATGTATTCTCTAACTCTAACTGGTGACATCCACAATGCTATGCACACTGTATTGGATAATACAGAAAAAAGATATAAGGGCAACAATATTTGTATTCTTTATAACTTTAATATTGTATATCTTGATTGTGGATGGAACCTCCATCGAAAGTCTGCGTTTCACCGCAATTTGATCTAAAAGTGGTTTAATGTGTGGGTTATAAATCTAGGTCCTTTTGGTTTTCAGTAGTCCCAATCATTCCCCTACAGACCTGTGGTCCAGCACTTTCTATAATAGAGGCTGCTGTCATCTGCTTCGCTGCATTTCTATCTTTTTGGTATTGTCGACTATAGACAGAGAACAGCCCAGAAGCACTGCAGTTCTGTGGATGCTCTGTCAAATGATTCAGTCAATAATGTCTCTTGTCATACTTTCTTAACTCATTCTTCTCCCTTTAGCCTTTCCCTTCTGGGGAGCACAGCTGATTATTAACCCCTCAAGAGTCAAGATGTGCACAAACATTCAGCAAAAGTCTATATTTTTTATGCAACATCTAGTTTATGGACTTGGGACTGGCACACAAATGACAAAAAATGCATCACTATATTTTCCACTTAATTGTAATGACATCATAACAAATAACCAGAAATACTCTGTATGTATTTTGATCAATTTGGTAGTGTGTTAAACAAATATTTATCTTTCCATCTGTCTGTTTTATTATATCATATATTATCACATTTTGCTTTTTCTGCCCGTTTCATTTTTCCGTCTTGGCAGTTACTGGGCTTTTCTCCTCTCCCTTTAATCCCCATGCTTCCATTCAATCCTGTTATGGTGTCTTCATCACTCTTACTATTGTGGTCCAAACCTCAGAAGCTATAGCTACATAAGAGAGAGCAGTGTGGATTTCTGTCATGTTCCTCTATTATAGTCATCTTATACAAAGCGGTGGCAGCTGCTGGTTTAGGGAGACAGCCTGGAGGCATGATCAGACACCAAACAACTACACTATGAGGTATATGACTTCAAACCAATCCAAATGAGACACAAAGCTTTACACTCTGCCTGGGACAGAGCAGCAGAGCAATGACTATTGTTCTTAACCCATCCCATCTAATAGTGTTCATGTATTCAAATGCTATATGTAAGAAAAATGTCTACTAAACACTAAACCTACCAGAGATCAATATGTATTTGGATGTTGTCTTTGCATAGAGATATATGGGATTATTTAAGATTCTGAAGAATCTTATACAGTATATAAGAAAATAATATGCATATTTTGGGAACATGTTGTATTATGTTACTAACATACCAACCCTACAACAAGCGGTCAGTGTAAAAGAAATTAAGAGTAAAATGACTTGCATATTTCATTTATGAGGATGGGCTTAATCTTTGTTTTCCCTCTGTATCATTATATGATTTTATCTGTCATTTGGTTGTTCTCTCACAAGGAAAATTAATAAATAAAGCAAATGTGTTGTTTGGCTAAACACATTTAATCAGGAATTCAGATTCGATGCCATGGCTGTGGTAGTGCTCATTTTCAGCATGGAGGAGAGAGCGATGCCAGAAACTTCTCACAAACAACCCATTTAACAATCTCAGTCTCAGACTTAACGATTTTATAACATTTTAGTTACATGTTAATTTCCTTACCAGAAGTCATCTTGCCGTCAAGTGCAGCTGGTCCATCACTGAGTACATTCTTGACCTGCAGAAACTCGTCAGTGCGGTCTCCTCCGATGATGGTGAAGCCAAAACCTTGAGAGCTCTTCTTCAGAGCTGTGTGGTACATCTCTCCTTTCAGCTCACTGGGGTCTGCCGTGAAGCCCACTGACCCCCCTTTACCTGGACATAATCAGCATCCATTAGTACAGAGCCAGAAAGAATAATGTCATATCAGAGAACAGACAGTTAGAACCGGCTCTGTGCCATTTGCTGTCAAATGTGCCATCACTGATTAATACATACTGTTCAAAATTCAGCAATTTCATGCTGAAAGTCAATTATACACATAATATGCTGGGGATCAACATAATTAAACAATTTAATTATAAATTAATACAGAAGAGAGGATGAAACACATTTACACACAGAAAGTGAAAAACGAAAATACATGAAAATATAGCGAGCGCAGACATTACAAACGATGGATTTTTATGAACAGAAGAGATACTTTTGCATGAAGCTCAATACACCTAGTAATTAAATCTGATGCTTCTACATTCATTAATTCATACCATGCTCTTTATTTCTACTGGGAGAACACTTGTTTATAAAAGTTCCGTTTCAGAGTCATCATTTCATCCGGTGCTTGTATTAGAATGATGGGAGGAAACCAGTGAGAACCCTTTAAAAACACATTGGTGCAATCCTTTCAAAAAGTATCATGAAACATAACAATGATAACAAGCCAACTCCACCCTTTTATTCATTCTAAATAATTGTAGTAATGTCTTTTTTCTTCCTGTGTGTCGGAGTGGTGATGTAATGCCTCTATGCTAACACAATGTCCTCTGTGCTGACTTTTTATAAGTTGAGGAGGGAGTGGCGTGAGGTCAGTGGCAACCTCAATATGGAGCAGCAGTGGCATTACAGCAGATAACTGGTGCTCTGGGTCACATAGCATTAAACTTAGCTGCCGCGCTATCAGCCAGTCCTGTGGTATCAGCACTTTGGATCATGGACACATCATTTTTCCTGCTGCATTATCGTCTAGAGCCTGGACTGCAATAGCTTAGGCTTAAAAAAGAGGAACCTGACAGTAATAAATGGAGCACATTCAGTCTATAAGCCATTATTCAAGAAATGTGATGTGGCTGTCTGCCCTCTTGCAAAACGTGTATATGATGATGTATTTTAAGACATATTTCAAAGTCATTTGTTCTATACTTCAGTGGTACACAATCTCCCTGTAATTCTCAATACACTTGTCATTTTCCACACATATTACATACTAGCTTGTAAATGACTGTCACCTTATTGCTGCGTCTGGGAGGTTCCATATACATTGAACTTATTGCTACAATGGCTATATTGCATTCAAAAGCAAATGCCGCTTTTACAGTGATCACTTTGATATATGTAGCCAATTAACATAAAATATTTACACTGAAAAAGAAACAGAATATATACATTTGGTCAGTATTTCTTTTTTCTTTTTGAGTGTACTATACATCAACAGAAGCACATCTTTATAATCTAGTCTGTCAGGGGAAAAGTCCAGGCTCTTTCAAACTTCTCGCTAAAACAAAACATAGCTAATACAATACTCTTAAAACAAAACTTTTAGCTAAAACAACAAAATAAGTTAATATGATTTGTGATGTAACCAAAATTAGTCAAAACAAGAAGATCGTGTCAAAGGTCATGAGATGCGTGCAGAGCCTCCAGTGAATGCTTTTCTTTGATGTTACGCATGAAATGTGTTGGAGAGATTGGAAAACACATCAGATAGTGATACGTACTGCAAATCAAAAGCCTTGCTTAGTCCTCTGGGTTTTCTACTTTCTCTTTGATGCCCCCATTTCATCACAAAAACAACTTTCAGTTTGGCCAAGGACAAATGGACTGATATTTATCTAGTTACTCATTTAGGCACTTAGTTATTATTTGTTGTTCAATCTTAAAATTTAATTTGTTAAAGGTGATTTAAAGCAACAATTCTACCGGAGGGTCCACCATTCACTTTTCTCCATCAAGATAATCACAGTTTGGTAAATGCTTTTTATATAGTGCTTTTCTACCTTTAAGGCACTCAAAGCGCTTTACAACAAGGAAACATTCACCCATTGACAGAGGGGGTGCAGACACAGGGGGTGAGGTGGGTTAAGTGTCTTGCCTAAGGACACAACAACAGCATTTTGTTTATGTCGATAGCGGGATTCAAGCCGCCAACCTTCGGATCAATGGACAAATGCTGTACCAACTAAGCTACTGCCGCCCCTTTTTACTTGGAATGTTCAACAGTATGGCATTAAGCTTATCTGTCTCCATGGAGCTACGCATGTGATGGCACCAGGATAAGTTACAGGTCACATTTGTTGATTAGCAAGCTTACTCACAGTAAGATTGCATGTTTTCCAATCTGAATAAAGACATCTATAATTACATACAAACAGAAGATAGCTTAATACAATACTGTGGAACATGCTGGCAAAGAAATAAAATCTCGATCGAGACAAGCAGGTGATAGATGGAAGTTAATTGCACAGATTTTATGAATATGGCGAGAGTTTTGTCAAATGCTATCATGAGAAATTATACGGCAGTTTTTGTCAACTAAAAGAATGTGTGATGTATTATTTTCTTTTTACCAGATTTCTTTTTTTTTTTGCAGTCCAGATGTCCACCCAGGCATTACCATAATCACATTCATATTGCACGACAACGGAAAATGCAGCGTTCCCTGTGCTGACTAAAGTCGACTTCAATAGCCAGCGAGCGAGTGAAGCGCCAGGCAGACAGAGGTAATGGAGGCAGAGTGGCGGATACAGAACAGAGAGGAGGAAGTGATTGTAGTGAGCGGGCCTGGGCATGTGTGGCTGTGTGGGACACTCCAAAGAGCATGTGTGCCAGTGTTTGTGGGCTGGAGACAGTTTAGACCGGAGACAGCCAAGACCACCAACCACCGCAGCAGTCACACATGCTGTTTGAATCCTCCTAGTCACTCTACATACTTATGCAACCCCAGTGTATTACAGAGCTGGGCCCGATTCTTCACAATAGAATAATGATAACTGTAAATGTAATGCAAAATTACAACAGTTTGTAACAATGGTGCATCCTTTCATCTAATATAGAGCAATATTGTGCTCAGCGGGACACACACTACCATGATAAAATTGGCCCATGAATTTTAAACATTTTTGATGATTTAATGTCATACCATCACAAAATTGGCCCATGCATTTTAAGCATTTTTCATCAATTTAATGTCATACCATTTGAGCTAAAATATCTACTGAGGTACTGAATTGTTTTTACAAAGGACATACATGTAGAACAGATTCTCCAATCACAACCAATTACACTATCTAACTGTACACCTGAATACTGATGTCCATTCTACCATTAAGCCTTGGGTTAGTGGGTGATCATCTCTACCAGAATTTGTGCCTGAATGTGATCTATTAAACAAGGCAGAAATATTTACTACATTATTAATTAGAATGTTTCCATTGAAAATATACAGTATGTGTGGCTGTAACTCATGTTATGTCATTGAGTTAAAGGTGCACTGTGCAACTTTTCTGGTGAAGGTACCTGCTTGTCTCCATGAAAATGCTTTTGCTTTGTCTAATATGTTTCACAGTACAGATTAAGGGCCTGTTTACATGAGAACGCTTGTGGGTAAAACAACAATTTATCGGAATTTTATCGGAAGTGCGTTTCGTTTACACGGTGGGGCTTAAAAATGCAAAAACCTGAACCCACCTTCCTGAGTGGAAAAGTTGAATATGCTTGGCCTTAGCATTTCCATCTTCACTGTCCAAGATGCAAAACTCTAGTCAGAATTCAACACACTTTTGCGTCACCGTATGCATGCAAATTTCCTCCCAAAAATACTCATCAAAGTGCAGAATAAAAAGTGAAGACGGGACACCACTTTTGTGCCTTCTGTTCAGACCATCATTGTATAAATGTAGTTTAAATTTATCTATCATGCTGGAGACAATCACTACGCTACTTTACAATTCAGATCTGCTGAGTTGCCTCGATTCACAGAGAAAATTATTGTATTTTTGAGCAATAGAAAAACCTAATGAATAAATGCTAGATGGATATGTTTAATGTCATACCATGGAACTTTCCAGGCAAAGCAATGAAATCTCCATGGAGACAAGTAGGTAGCCAGGCTGGCGCCACCTAGTGCCTCTGCTCAATTTCATTTCTCTCCAGCAATTAGGTCAGAAATCAAATTACACAAGACGGTTTGCAAAAACCCCAGGAGTGCAGGATTCAGGCACCAGCCAATCAGCGAAGAGCCATATATTCAGTGTTGTCAATGATTCCCAAGATCGAGCAATTAAAGCCGGAATAAAGAGAATGTTTGGTGAATTTCATGAGGGGAAAGACGTTATTGCCCTTCTTCCTACGGGATTTGGGAAAAGCTTAATATACCAGTTAGCCCCATTAGTGGTGCATTACATACGTCATGACCAAATAGCAGAGATTGGTTAAATGATAAAAAGTACCCGCCTACCGTGGAGCGAACTAATTCTAACACTGCAAGGTCAAACGGTTTCTACAAAGTGAATCCGGCTGATGAATCAGGCTAATAAGGTGGACTTTCCACCTGAAAAGTTGCGCACTGCACCTTTAACTCATCAAATCTTCATTGTGTCTCTAATAGAGGCTTTTTTACACAAAGAAAACAGTTATAGCCAGAGGTGCAACTGCAAACTTGTGATGCTTGATTTGTCCATAGCAGCCCCAGACAGTGCGGTAGGTTGTGTAATCTGTAATCAGGGTTGTCCCACCTGAGCACAGAGATGTCTGATTATGCTCTGGCCCTCTGACGGCCTGTTCTACCAGCTGTTTCCAACCGCACCACTAAAAGTCAGACACCTCCCCTGCATTCAAGATCACTGCCCCATCACTTCAAAACTGAAACCAAGCCAAGCAGCACTTTTCAGAATCTAATTTGATGAAGTCATACACCCAGTTTTCTCTGTTGATTATATAGTTTGTTCATTAGGAAAATCCAACTGAAAAACCCACAAACATTCAGCTTGAACATTTCCATTAGTGACTATCCCCTTTCACATTGACAAAAATTATTACATCTATCAAATATGAATCGCAATGGTTGTCATTGAATGCTCATTTGTAGTTAAGAAAGATAGCTTTATTCATACCAGGTCTACAGAGAGCCTGCTCAAATTCTTTATCTTAGTTTTAGAGGTGAAAATGATTTCGACAACTATAACATCTGGTTGAAATAAAATAGTCAGCGAATTGAATGGAAAGAATCATTTTACTTTCAATTCTCAAATGTTTCTGAATCTTTGTCTCTCTGGGAACAGTGCAATTTACAGAGGCATTTCAATGCATTTTGCAGTTCCATATACTCCCAATACAAAGATAGTGTGATGAACAGGTGTTGTTTGCAGAAAAACAGGTCTGTCTTATCTGATTCAACTGTAGGGTGAACCAGTACAATGGATCTCCTTATTGTTTATTATAATTCCTGATTAATATCTCTCGATGAGGTGGAATTTTATTGTGATTCTTATATGTTGTTTTGAATGGTTGAAAGGCAGGAACGAGCAGATCCAGCCAGAACATGTATTTTCATGTCACCAAAGCCCATGGGAGGTGCGCGTGATAAGACACAATATGTTATGATATTTTTAAAGATGGCAGACTTAAAAATAACCTTGCAGAGTTGCATTTTCCATACATACAGCAGACTGACACTGTGTCCTTTATTTCAACTTTAGTGCATGGCCTATCTCTGCCCCTACTCATGGATTTCAGCTTCCTGTTATGTGCAACATTTTTGAGGACTTTTACCGTTTCACTATGGGAACTATGTTTTTTTCATCATTCTGAAACCTAAGGATATTGCAAGTAGGAGCAGGGAGCATGTTGTTACCTTGGGATGACGCGGCCTTGGCTTTTTTGAGAGTCTCCTGGTTGAGCTTCTTTTTTGCCTCCAGGACTGGGTTCTCAAACTGGGTCTTCTGGTTAATGTGACTGCAACATAAACAAGATTTGTATTCAAGAAACTACAAAGATTGCAAATCCCACAGCACACATACTTTACATGAAAACATGCAACTCACGTTTACACACTGCAGCAGTTTGAATGCATTAATTATTCATGCTTCTTCCTGTAAGCTAAGCATGATTGGCCTAAGATGGCATAGAGGCATCATTAATTCAACACAATATAACTTGCTTGTAGCCTCAAGTGTAGGTTTTAGAGTTAGTCATTTTAGCAAATAAATGTAAATAATTTTTTCATTAAGTTTAGAATTAGTGTTAAAGGATTTTGTTTTTGTTTTCTAAATCAAATCAAATCAAATCCATTTTGGTTACACCAGGATTAATGTCCACAATGTCCAGACAAGACTTAAACCAGAACTAAACTGATTAATAGATTAGACCCTACAACTATTCAAGAAGACATGTGCACTATGATGTGGTTGTCAAAAAGGAGTTAATATGACTAACTGAGATTCAGGAGCAGGACCACACCTTAATTTGCTACTGATTCTCTTCAGCAAACCACAGCTCACCTCAAGCACACCTCTAATTACCCAGAAGCCCTATTTATACAGGCCTATCCCAACAATACTGCATGTCTCCACTCTCCCTCCCTCCTACCCTCTGTCTCTTGTTCATCTTTCAGCTTGAAAGACCACCTATCTACAGACAGGGGGTCCAGAATGGGCTGGGCTGAGCCCTCATCCTGAGTCTCTACTCAACCACAACATCTATCCATATAATCAATACATATCTTCATCATATACCATTGTTAAGGCATGTCCTTGCTAGTGAACTGAGTACTTACCAGACACAAAGACCTTTCTACATATTATTTCAAGAGTCCAATCCTATAACGGCACTATAAGGCTCAGAGAGAAGACTAAACTCCCCTTGCTATGTGGCAGCTCTATCCGTTTATAATTGCAGGAAATGAACCCCTTAATGCCAGTAGCATCCTCTTCTCCACAACAAGGTAAACAGCCTGTTGTCCCTCTGGCACACAAACTAAAGCCATTGTTCACAGTAAGCTCATTTTGCACTGAGGCACTGGCAGCCACTCCATCTAAGGTGGCTGCTGACCCTCCGATAGTTCAGAAAAGGCAACTTTTTCTCTCTTGTGTCCTTCTGGTCTTGTGTCCTTCTCTTTGCAGCTTAGCAAAGATACCCAAGTATATTCTTCTTTCTTCCCATCACAACATACTGCTACCCCACTTCGTGGCCCCCTCTTATTGCTAACATCATGCATTCTGGATGAAAATCTCCCCATATCTCTACCACTGTTATAATTACTATGTTTCACTGATTTCCTGCCAGGATGTTGAGCATGAAAGCACATTTAATCCAAACAGGTAGTATATGTGCAGATGCAGATGTGTACAGTTTGTAGAGGTCATTCAGTCAGCTCTTCATATACAGGTCAAGACACATTACCCATCGAGTTTCATTTTGCCACCCGCTGATCAACAATGGCAAAATCCTAATCGAAATCTCAGGTAAATGCTTCCTCCCCACATCTTACATAATTCAAAGCTTCTTCAACAGACTGAGAATGAGCGTTACGCTGGATCCATTTGTTTATTTTTAGATAGTATTGATTAATGCTGCTCTGCCCCTAATGTTCACTAAGCACTCTAATATGCAGCCATACCCTGTTCAAACTCTGCCTAAAAGCACTTGAGTGTCATGTGTATGATAATATGTGCACTGTTTGTAATCACGTGCAAATGAATGAATCAATACAACTTACTCAACATAATATGTGCCATACTGTGGGTCATCAATTTCCTCCCATCCATAAGGTAACTCTGAGAAAGGAAAGATCAGGTTAAGAGAAAGAAGAGGAGTTTAAAGACAGCAACATACAATTGAAAAAAAGGTTAGTTTTTGATCTGAACCATTCTATTTCCTAGAACATTTTTAAAGCAAACTTTCAGATATGCAGTTTGAACAAGCAGGCTCACTGAGTTGGAGGCATGAGTTCCTGAACATATGAGGCAGTGGAAGAAGGAAACAGACAAGAGCTCTTCACGCACGAGAGAGCTTTGGAGTTGCTTTTCAGAAGGAACATACCAACTAACTTTGTGACTGCCTGTAAAACCCATTAAACAAGCTGGAAGCAGCTGTAGCTACTCTCTAGATGTGCCTGCACTTAAGCCACATTAGCATCCTGGGGATAAAAGGCATGTCTGGAAGTCTTCATACAAGACTGGGGGCTGCAGAGGACTGAAAAATAAGACCACGTGACTGGGAAGCACAAGGTTGGTCTAAGGTCGCCCTGAAACCATGTTCTAATTCATTCTGGTTAGTGATATGTGAAACGTGTAAAGTGATGGATTATGTAATGTGCCACACACAGAGGTATGCCCTTGTGTAAATGCCTGCAGTGGCACAGTGCTAATGGCATCAGTGTATGCTTGAATAGAGCATCAGAGCCTACCTCCGTCCTCACACTTCTCAGGCGGCTTTGCCTTTTTGGCCAGGCGAGGGTCCAGCCATGTGGTGGTCTTCGTATTGTGACTGTGAAACACACAGAACACACCGTAAACAAGCAGCACACAGAGCTGTGCCAGACAAACCACTGCTTATTTCAAATAGGCCTTATGCCAGAATAGGCTTTGTTTTCATCAAACAGAATCCAATTCAGGAGTTCAAATTTGGATGTCACATTCCCCAGTTTATGGTTAGGTGGCCTTTTGCAAAGGAGAAAACCCTCTGAATGTGAAACATGACAAACTCATTTAGCCTCAAATGAGTTAATAACTGGAGTGTGTAATCAGCAGTAAAATCACAATGGCCCTGTGCTATCTTCAGAGACAAGTGGCTCAGAGCCAAATATGAATAAAACAGTGTATAGCCATGCATGCATGAACATAAGTATAACCGTATACTATATACAGTAGACATAACGCTTTTGTGTTTGCACAGTTACAGATCAAAAGTACTGATCCATCCAGCGAAAACACACACAGCATTTTAGAAATGCAAATATCTCGACTTGTAATATGGCATTAAAGATGTTTTTCAGTAGCCGCTTGTTGTGACATGGTGAAAAGGTTAATTGTGGATTTCATCTAATTGATTTCTGCCAACAACAGGGTTCTGCTTTGTGCCCATTTTTTATGTACTTGTATGTGTCATGTTCATCAAAAACAAGTCATGCCACTATGTCAAAGCTAATTACTGGCGTATCTGACAGTAAGACGAGTATTGTGTGTACCTGCCTGTCGATGTGTTGTAGAATATTCACTGCAGAAATATATTACACTTGCATCAGCAACTGTTGGTTAAGGTTTTTGAAAAGGGTATGACAATTATAATAATGGCATTTACCATGCTTGAGTCCCAACTTGTGCAATTGTATTATATAGATTAATATAGGTTTTAAATTTGCCATTTCTAAAAAGAATCTTTAGCGGCTGCACTGTTAGCTGTCAGTCTTGTCATTTAAAATAACATAAGATGATGTTTCCAGTTCATTGACTGGAGTCAGTAGTATTCCAGGTGACAAAGTGCTTTGGACCTTATCTTAACACTGACACTGACACTTACTCTATGAAGTAGACCATGCCCGTCTCGGTGTAAGCCATCTCCCAGTTGTAAGGTAGAGGCTCCAGGCTGTCATCACGGGGCAGAGAGCTCCATGTCCTGAAGTCCATGTTCCCACTTGACTGGTTGTAACTGGGCACAGTTTTCCTCCAGTCTGCAGCATCTTTGAGCTCTGAAGACAGACAAAACACAAAGAGAGTTAGCTTTCAATGATGATGCATGCAGAAATTCTAAAAACATTTCATTCAATATAGAAAAGAGTCAACATTTTCTGAAACAAATTACATTCTTTACTTTAAAGGTGCACTGTATAACTTATGGTGGAGGGTCTGCCACTTGGTGGTCTCCACTGAGAAATTGATACTTTGAATAGAATGTTCCACAGTGTGGTATTAAACTGATCTCCATGGAGACAACCAAGTGACACCACGAGATCAAGTTATACTGTAGGTCAGACCTGTAAAGATGTGAGCCTGCTGACAGTAAGAATGCATGTTTGTCAAGGTATTTTTGAACAACAGAAACATCTACAAGATTAATATGTATAAAAAGAAAATGTGGAACTTGCCAGGTAAAAATAAAGCATCTCTGTGGGAACAAGCAAGTGGTGAACCTCCATCAGAAAAGTTACTTACTTACTTACTGCACCATTAAATGTTTGCTAATGTAGGCGCCACAAAATTTGAATATAATACCATTACCACCACTTAACAACTACCACTAATACTAATTCTAATGTTAAATCTGACTCAAACCAACAGCTCTCTGACAGCAAAAGGTAATACAGGTAATGTTATTCACCAAAACAAGAAACTCCAACCATTTAGAGGCTTTGAAAAGCAACTTATTCCTCTAAATATACTCCATGCAAGTGTGTTTGAATACATTTGGCTAAAAACATGTATTTATATGGGAGCCCGTTATGGGGATCTTTGAAATGCTAGTTTGCTGTGGGGAGTTCAGGCTGTATTTTTTATGTGGTAAATTTGCATGGCCACTAAAAGTTAACACTCCACCATACACATACGAGTAGGTTCTTTGTGGCTCAGAGCATTAGAGAAGGATTCCCATTACAGCAGCCCTGAGTCCTGAGGCATTTACTCTGTAATAATACTGCACTATGAAGCCACTGCCACTGTTCATATACAGCATGTTACAGTGAAGACAGGTCTGCCTAATGAGCTCCACAATGAGCACGAAACACAAACAATGGCTTCCATAATTCACTTAGCACTTCATGGCTTTGCATCAGAAGATCCTAATAAAAGCATAAACCATGTCCCCTTTCATCTGTTGGATTTATAATGGAGGAAACCTTAAACCTTCATAGAAAAATGCCAAGAGACAGAACACATGGAAGAACAAGCAGTGGTTCTGTTTTCAACATTTTAACAAAACAGACAGATGTTTAATTCAGAATGCTGCATAAGTTTGTTTTTTTTTTATAAGAAGAAGAAAGGTCTAAGGCAGGGGATGCTCTGGCACAGTTATGCATTTCTTGTTTTACTGTGAATATTAAAGGTGTACTATGTAACTTTTTGGTTGAGGCCAGTCACCTTCTTGTTTCTATGGATATGTCAGTGCTCTGCTTGATCTGTTTCACTGTTTGATGAACATTTTTATAAGCCCTACAAGACAACTGCTTTAGAAATTTTGGCCTATACAAAAATGTATGGAATTGAAACTCACAAGATGTTTTGTGAATAATTTACCTATTTCTTTAAAGGGTCCATATTATGTTATCTTCTGATATATGTTATAATGTTTTCCTCATCATAAACATAGCCATAATTCTGTTTTGTTTCATTCACACATATTTAACATACAGTTTTTCTCTCAAACAGAAAACACTCTGTTCCATCTAGTGATGTCATGTGTGGTAATACAGGAAGTGCTCCACTGTGTTTTTAAAACTCCAAACATCTTCACTGGAAACATTTGAGTAATTTCAGCTCTGAAATTGCCAATCTCTACTAAACAAAAGATAAGATGTAGCTGTTGCATCCAAGGTGGAACAGAGCATCTGGAGCTTTGGAGATGCAGACAGACAGAATAATAAAGGGTTTCACAAACATGTGAATGAAACAAAACTTGAAGTATGTTTTTTGATGATCAACAAGAGTTAAAGTTCACAGTAGTCAATTTTGCATAACATAGAAACTTTAAATTCTATATTATATTACTGGGACCTGTTGTTGTGCATTATATATTCCATCTTGGGACTGATTATAAGTGTAGAGCCAATCATCAAACACATTCATGACTCCCTCTATTTATAAAATATAATCCGTGTTTACTCTTTCACAAAATATGCAATATGCTTGAATTAAAAAGAACAGTGCCGCAAAAGACTCTCAAGTAAAAAAGCCTGTTGCATGTAAACACATTAGCAGCGGCCATGAGGGAGAGACTGAAGTGTGGCGGAGGTCAAAGGGCAAGTTCACCGCGGGGTGAAGTCACACTTGATGAAACGGGCCGGTCGGACACTGCCAGGACAGCGGGGGCAGAGGCGACCATAGGCACAGTGTATTCAACAACAGAAAATACTCAGAGCTCACATTTTCCATTAACTTCTGTTTTCACTGGACCATAGCATTGGCCATCTATGGGAGTCTGGCCTCTGCCACAGCTGCTGCCTACAGTCCACCAATCATTTGTGTCCATAAAAAGAGATCCTCGATGTCTAGCCAGTGTTTAGCGTCTGATTTCAATATGACAAAGCAGTTGGGTAAACAGACGGAGGATTTTTGTGAGGCTTCTGTACAGCTGAGCAAGCAGTGTTGAGCCATGACTGTCAAAAGCAATGTTTTATCCTAAAAAAAAAGACCATATTCAGCCTGGCCTAGTTCTATGTGCTGCTTTTCCATTGAAGTGAGGTATAATGCAAGCTCAAATTTGAGGTGGGCTTTAAAAACAGGCTTGTTTTAGAGGCAGACAGAATGTATACTGACAATAACATATTGTGTGACAAGAACATTTTCAGAGTAGTACATTCTAATTATGTGAAATGAGATAACCTGTACATGCAATTAATACAGATAAGAGAGCATAATGAAACTAAATTGTGCTATTAAATTTGTATCTGTATTGTATTGTGCTTTTTTCTGTTGCTTAAATATAGTACATCAATTAAAGGGTCCATATTACACTTATTATCTATTTTAATGTTGTTTCCTCATCAAAAACAGACCTTAAGTTGTGTTAGTTTTTTTTTTTTAATTCACACATGTTTAACACATACACTTTCACTAGAATCATTTCGATAATTTCAACTCTTGAAATGCCAACCTTTACTGAACAAAACGTAAAAGAGAGCTCTTAACTTGAAAACCACCACTTCATGATATCAAAAGATGGAACAGAGCTTTTTTTGAGCTTCAAAGATGTAGATAGATTAATAACAAAGGATTACTCAACGTGTGAATGAAACAAAACTCAACTCTAGGCATGTTTTTGAGGAGGTAAAACACATTAGAGTAAGGTTTAAAATTCACAAGCTTCAGTTTTGTACAATAAAAGGACCTTTAAAGTGATAGACAATGTAGCTGAAGAAATGTTTAGTTTTAGTAAATAGATAAATACATACATTAATGAAGAAAGAAACTGAAAAACGAGGGTGTGATGTTAAAGCAAGGATATCCTCAAGTAACAAGCTACCATCTATAAGTTTATTTGTTTTTTGTTTTTGTTTTTTTTACCAGTAGATGGCAGATGTGAATCCTGTTCTTCCCTCCCTTGACTAACCCGGCCTTGGTTCAAGCTGGCACACTGTCAGACTGCACTAACGTAGATAACATGAGAATGCAACAGATTCTAATAAAGATCAAATCTACAAATTAGTTAGGTATAATTTAGGATATCTCTAACTAAATGATAAAAACATTCTAACATATATTTAGATTTTAGATGATTAAATCTTTTGCAAAAGTATTTTATAACTTGTAACATTTGCTTTGAAATGAAAACATGATAGTGAAGACAAACTAAAACGTATCACTTGCATATGAGCATAACGCCCTAGCTGACAGTGTGCAGTGGCATTTACTGACCGGGCAGACCATTGAGTAGTGGGGGGCGGTCCTCGTCGTCCTCCTCCTCTGGGACGGCGCTGTCTTTACGGTCCATCTTGCTGACCGATGTGGTGCGCTTTCTGGGGACATCACTGACAAAATCCTCATCGAACAGAACCTGGTCCACGAGGTCAGGCTGCACCAGGTTGGGTTCAGCTGGAGGCTTCGGGGTCCCATAGTAGTTACCTGACAGATGGGGATACAATTGTTAAAGGTTACTTATTGTAATGTGTTATACAAAAATAGAATGAGTGATTTTGAGCATGATAGAGCTTAACATTGTAACCTCAGAATTGTATCTGTTATCCTGGTATTAAGACATGGACTACTTCTATGAGGTATTTTATGTTTGGAAAATGTTATATTCTCCAAAAAACAACATATCAACATGTTTTATAACTTTTACGTTCCTTTTTGACACTCTAAGGCTCCCTTTCGTTTGCTTCCTGCACTAAGTCACACCCTCTTTGCTATCATAACACAATCAGCATGCATCCATCCCACAAATGAAGCTACTGCACATCACATCAGGTTTGTCAAGTTGTTGTGTACAGTTTTGTATCACACTTTTGTATATTTATGGAGAATTGTCACGTGGGAGCATGGGTGACGCAGGCTTGTAGGCTGAGCACTGCACTGAATCTTACAGCAAACCATAAGGAGGGTTCAAACAGGGCTGGGAGAGATAGCTAAAATACTTAAACATGCATGACATCTAAAACCTCTTCAGGCAGGCTTTCGATGAGGGAACGTTATAACATGGTAGAAAGCAAAAAATATATATATTTTGCATAATTAATAACCCCTCTATGTATGGGACTTTCAGATGCTGAATTGTTGTATTTCAGATATCATAACATTCTACTGACCAATAATATTTAATAGAAACGTAAAACAGTTAAAATGTCTATTGTTAAAATGCAGATCTCTATGGACATTTGGCAATCTGGCCAGTAATTTAATTTTTCTGATTACTTTCCTTCTCTATGCTGTTGATAGATTTGTAAACAGAATTCCATACAGACATATTTGTTTAGAAAAGATTGGATTCATAATGTACAAAAGGCTCCTACAGCTTGTGTTATTATGATCTGTGAATCGTAGAAACAGAGTGGATAACTAAAGCAACTGTGTATCCTGTAGCTCTGTATTCTCAAAACCTGTAAAACAAAATATGCTTGAGGTATAATGTAACATAGGTGCAAAACCAATTTAGAATCATTTGATTGTTTTTTTTCTCCAATCCAAGGTTACTGTAAATATGCAGTTTGGGTTTTCTAGGTGCTTTACTAATTTACAATACTTGCAGAACGCACAGTGTTGTACCATGTTTGTATCTTAATATATACTATATATATCCTAATATGCTAGTAAAAGAAATAACCAATGTTTTAATTTTGACATGGTTTTAATAGTTTATATTAGGGGTGAGCAAAAATATCGACAATTTGATGATACACTAACACACTACTATTTTATTGCTTATTCAGTGGAAATAAAAAAGAAGTTTATGCAATACACTTGACATATTCACTGTTTTGATGATTAAAATAGTATTTTGAGCCATGTACTGTGTATCATATTGAATCATGAGGGACCCTATGATTCCCAGCCCTAGTTTATATCTTTATTTTGACTGAATATTCTTATTCTTCTGCTGTTCCGGTTCTCTGGGTTGCAAAACTGTAATTTTCTCATTGTTGGACAAATAAAGGTTATCTTAACCATGATTGGTTCTAAATTGTCCAAATGAATATGGGCGAATAGTTTCAGTGTGACTAATTGAGTTCACCAAACCTTTTCACAGACCACAAATTAAAAGTTAATTTCCTAAATGTCACACCTAAGCCCCTGACTATTTACAAGTTCCTGCAGTCTCCTTCCTCTCCGATTCTCTTATCTCCTCTTCATTCTCCCTTGATAACCTCATTGCTGTCGTGAGTTGCAACATTAAGATCGCTTTACTTGATATTTGCCACCACCATCTAATTACACTGATCATTGAATACTACAATTATGCATATCACAGTTTACAATTTACCAGTGAAGAGAAACTTGCTGATATGTGGTGTTTAATATTCACAAGTGCTTTATAGGGAGGGGTAGACTGAGACGTTGCTAAATGATTTTTGTTAAGGTGCAATCCATCTACGTATTACCCAGTGTGGAGCTCCATTTAGAATCACCTAATTATTCAACTTCCATTAGGATAATAAATATTGTGCATGCTCATTTATTTCCTATCATTTATTATAATTTGGCTGCATAAAGGCGTGAAGTCAGATGTGTTTACGTAATATATTAAATGCGTTTTCTTGGCAATTCATTTGTTAATTTAAATATTTACATGCTTGTTATAGAAAATAGTTGTTTAGTGCTGATTAAAGACAGACTATAATTGGAGAAGAATGGAGAGAGATACCTTGGAGAGACTGGGGCTTTAGAAATACAATTAGCCTCGGTAAACTCTATCTTCATTTCATTTGGACCCAAGCTGCTTATGGGAGCGCAGTATTATGAATCTTTGATCTACTTAACTACGAACATGCTCACATCACAAATAGGGAAGTGTAAGAGCAGCACTTATCTTTTTATAGCACACTGCATAGAAGAAAAGCTGACAATGCCACCAGAAAAAAAATACAGGACAGAAAAATCACTACTATAAAACTAGAGGGCAAAAATCAACAAAGCGCTGGATTAAAGGCTAAGTACTTGTATTTACACAATCATTTTATGTGTACATTTTAAGACCAGTGTACTTCTGGCAAGATATGCTGCAGTGGCCACAATATGAAGATTTTCCGTGCTTGGCCAACAAAGTCCAGCTTTAAACCCCATGGAAAATCTGGGGATGAATGGATCTATAGGGATTCTGTTTGGGCTCAGATCGTGTGCCATGTATCCACAAGAATAGCAAAGAGATCTTTTTGGCATTATGCACCACATCAACAAAAGTAATTGATTCATCCACACAAATAATTAGCACATCATTTAAACAGCCAACTTTAATTGAATGTGGAAGTGCATTTTGTATCAAATGATATGAGTTGATAACAATTAGCTAAATTGCCCATTGACCTCCAAGGGTAAATATCCTTTTGTAAATTATGTTTTTAACAATCACTTTGCAACTAAATATTCGACTCTATTAATGAACATTGCGGATTACAATCACTGCAATATACCCACATACTTAACAAAACAAATTAGGGACTCTAAATACATTTTTAGCCTCTTGGGTATGTCAATTTGGACCACATCAGTGCAGTGTAGATTATGGGCTGTGCCAGATGCAGCCGTAGGGTTAGGGAGGAGAGGGAGGCTGGGATTGAGTGTGTATTTCCTCTCTTCTCTCTCTTCTTTCCTCTCTCCTCCCCTCTCTTCTCTCTCCTCTCTTCTGCTGCCTCTCCTCTCTCATCTCTCCTCTCTCCTTTCTCCTCTCTCCCCTCTCCTCTCTATGTTTACCAAATGACACTCTGCTGCATTTGTCAAAGATGGCTTCATTAGCAGGGGTGGCATCACCAGACCGCCACAAGATTGGATACGCCGGCTAATCCGTCCGCCTGTCTGCTGCCATACCCTGACATTCATCAAGCAGTCGCTACCTTTGTGATTAATTACTCACAAACATGTCTCTTGGCCCCTGAAAAATGTGCCACAAATGAAGAGCTACACAAGAGCACAGTAAAGATTTGTAGCAGCATTATAAATCGAAGGAAGACACGAGAGCGGATGAGCTAGAGGCCTGTCCGACTTGTGATCCTAATGTCAGGAGGTTGATGAGCCAGGAAGTCTCTCCCTTTCAAACGGCGCACAAGCAATTTCATGCCAGTGGGATCTGCCGCGGGGAATGAAGAAAGCTCCTGTTGTCAAGGGCACTGTGCATAATGGACACAAGGTCAAGAACAGACTTTCATCTCGCCGGCGAAGATCATGAATAGACTCAACCATCAAGTGCTCTGTGTCTTATTACAGGAGAATGAGCTGTGCACTCCATTCTACTGCCATTCTCTCAGCTGACACAAACACCATTCAGGAGGACATTGTCTTATGTTTGTTCCTATAGTTAGCTAATGTGTGGAAAGAACTACTGATACTGGCATTGCTGAAAAAGATTTAAGAGAGGAACTGGTGTATTTAGTGAATTTAAAGGTCCAGTATGTAACTTTTCTGAGGGTGTGGAGGCTTACCATCACCTATTTGTATTTAAGGAAAGCACACACACAAAAGACACCATTTCATAATATCATATGAATTGACAATAGGTTTAAAAAATGGTAAACTAGTGCATTTATTAAAGCAATGCCATATAACTTCATCTGCATGATTCCATAAAAATAAAAAGTTAAAATCATACATCGGAACATTCTCCATGTTCTATGCCATATAGTGGAACATTTAATCCAAAATTTCCATGTTGACAAGCATGTTTGAGTCAGGTTTGTAGAGATACAAGCCCACTCATGTTTTTTAGTGAAATAAAAACATCCATGATGAAAATATATGCCTTTATTTTAGTCCACTTTTTGTCCAAAAATTTAAGTAGTGGACTTTAAAGACTGGTGCATTATCGTGACTGACATCTTCAGTCTCTCATCCAATGAATAACATTTGCACTAGTTGTACTTTCCCAATGCAAATGCCCGTACAAACACAAGTTTGCATATGAAAAATACAAGGCATCATGAGTATAGCTATAGAGGCAGAGAGAGACTGAGTCACTTTGCCACCGTTCACCCCAATATGAAACACAAGCTTCCAAACATCAGCTCTGAGTAACTCTTGATCCATCATAGACCCGTGCATTATAGAGTACCCGGTGAGCTCCATTTTGTTTTGTTGGCAGTGGTCCCTACAGCCTTGCACTTCACTGCGCCAGTCCACACACTGAATGTCTACTGCTCTTTTTGGTTTTCAGATACTGACCCAAACTGAACCCAAACAAAGGGTCCAGGGAGCAGAATATGGGACACTTGGGTGTTTTGGCACAGATGGTCGATGCAAGAGCCATGGTACTCCAAAGAAACAGGAGGGAAACATCAACATAATAGATCTATGAACAGCTGAGTGGAGTCCTTCATGCTTTGTTGACAGAGTTATTGCAAATCAAAATCTAAATGGATGCATGTGTTATCCCACTGTAGATATTAATAAGCATTGGTGGTGTGGAAAAATGGCGCCTGCGTGCAAGTTACCATGCCTTCAAGGGGAAACGTGTCTAATAAAACACAGCGGTTTTTGGCAATGGAATTGAATTTGTTGTTGCCATTTTAATTAGTCATATATCAATTCACTGTATATAATATTAGATTTCTGCATAAGATGAATGATGAATAATATATACTTTTGTAGGACAAAAAAAATACATATCACACCTTTTAACTTGAATAAATACTGTGTGTGAAAAGGAATCATTTATTGATTGTTTGCCTTCACACAAATGATTGGAAAAAGTAATAATGGCTTCAACAAATAAACTTTCTGTTCTTTTCTATTCTTCTATTCTTTCAATAGGTAAAACCTTTGCAGCCCTGACTGATAAAAGGTTGGGTAACAGCCATTAAAAGAGAAGCCTGCAAAAGAGCACTTTGAAGGTAAAATGACACATATAATGCATTAACCTGGGCAAGAGGTAAAAAGGGGTTAGACACAAACCATTAGGATAATGAACATTCAGGCAAGCCATTTGGGAAAATTAGCAAGACCCTTATTATTACCTAGCAATCCTATTAGCACCATACTTTGATCACAGCTTACTAATTGTACACTCATAAATAGGATCATTAGCTTTTCATAGCAAAAAATGTGACCTCTGAGTCAGTGTCCGTGACCGGAGCAGCCCTGACCTTGTTTATCGCCCTCTGTCTAAAGAAGAAGGAATAGGCTGCACAGTGAGTAAACTGTGTAAATCTGGCACTCTGATCCGATTAGATTTGGACTTTGACTGCCACTGAGAGATCAGCAGTGTGTGCTGAGGTAGAGCTAATGCCAAAGAATAGAAGGTGGAAGGTGGGAGAATGGGAGGGAAAAAGCAGTGGTGTGGGTACTGTGTAGTAGTACATGTAGTACTGCATATTATTTATTATATTGTAGTGCTATATATTATTTTGTAGTGTCTGTCAGAAAATGCAGTCAATTTACAGTTTGGTTTATTACTCTTCATTGTTTAAAAAATACACTTAAACTCTATTAACTGCTTTGTTATTTGGGATAAACCGTGTAAAAGAATGCTACATATTTATACTATTTACATATTCAGTGAGAGTTGGGCAGGTCCCACTGCCAAGCAGGTCCAGATTTTAAGGCTTTAAAGAAAGAAGCAGTGATGCCGTGGGAGCACTGGGGACATATCCATATTTGACTCTCTCCCCAGGATCGGAGAGTGAAAGTGTCCAAGTTTTTGAGTAGCTAATCCACACATCTGTGCCCGAGCCAAATGGTGCTGCACAGGGGGCTTCAGCTGGGATCTAAGCAGCTCTATACCTCTCTGCTTATCTCCTCTCCTCTTTTCACTTTCCCCATTCTACCTATACAGTCCACCCTGCATTAAAGGCAGAATCCCAGCTGACGTCAGCTCGCAGATGAAGGGCAATAGTGGACAACTTGGCAGCTTGTCGAAACCAGATCCTGGGCTCTTACCTTTACATATACTGTACAATGAAGACAGAGATGTGAGAAGTAGAAGGTTTTCAGAAGTGTGGTCTACACCTATACTGTCACAAGCACCTCACAAGTGCAAAGTAACACTTTGATAAAAGCGTGATGTTCTAATAAGTTATACTTCACTTTGGAGACAAGAATAACATCACAATGACTTTGAGTATCTATAGGTATCTAGATTGTCATTTGCAGATGTCATTTCCATGTCTAAAAATCAGAGTTAACTGATTTTACACTAATTTGCCATGTTAATCCTTTGTAGTATATAAAGTATAAGATGACTTTACTTTTACTGGTTAACTGAAACTTCACCCATGGTCCTATGCATTACGGAGTTTGTAAGGGAGGGATTTGTAGTGAACGAGCAGGCCATAGTAATCCATAATTGTGATTATGTTAAAAAGGCCATTTAAATCTAGATATAGAGGTTAGATTGAAAGCTCATTCTGTATTCCGAGACAGAGTTTTATACGATTGTTGCAGACTCATTTCAAAAGGTCACCAATGAAAACAAAGATCCTCTGGTGTTATTGCATCCTAGATTTGCAAAGAAGAATAATGTGTGCATTGAATTATTATCACAAACATTTCTTTTTTTTCAATACTTTTTGTACAGACTTTCTTATATCTTTAAATGCATCACCAATATTTTTGTTCAAATCCTTTTCAGCTTTTTGTCAAACTGAACTCCCATAAGGCATATTAAACAGAGATGACATTTGCTCACTAGCATACTGAGTCTTCCAATGATACTGATGGAGCCCTTGAGCATCTTTGATGTAATTTGTTAAAAACAACCCTCTTTACTGTCTGAATTACAACATATGTATTTTTACTGGCCTTGTTTGCTGATTGCCTTATGAAAATGATACTGTCTCAAATCCAGAAAAAGTGACAGTAACTATGAATAATTTATCGGTTCATTGTATTTATGGTAATGCTTTATTTGTTTGTATTATTTTGTTACCTTTTATTGTGTTAACGCATAAATTAATATTATCAACCTATCACTGTCAGTTCTTTTTTTCAAGATAATGTATTCAATATTGTGTTAATATTACGCTGGATTTTGTACCAGACATTCATATTCAAAATATTGAATATGCCCACAGTGCTGAAGTCACTAGACACTACACACTGCATTAAACATTTCCCAGTACTATGCAGGTGTCATTGTTGAGCATTTGAAAATATCATTCTGAATTTCTCAGTGAACTTCCTGTTTGTGTCTTTGGAAGAGGAGAGGAAGAGCAGGAGGTGATGTAGTTTAAGCCTTGAATAAAAGATGGTGTGAAGGTAAAACCCAGGATGTCTTGAAGAGTGATTGTGCACCTCTCCACTGGGATCATGAAGATGACTGGTTTATATGAGGTCATCAGGTGTTACTGTGGCAGCGCTCTGGAGTATAGTGGTACTGGTACTTGGGTAGATGTGGGCCTTATCCAGACCAAAAATAATAATCAGAAATCAGAACTAAAACTGCAGTAAGTTACAATCTACTCTCTGGAACAATATGTGCAAAAAAAAAAAAAAAAAAAAAATTTAAGTTAAAAACCCCAGTAGTAGCAACACAGGACCCCACAACTGAGGAATTACACAGACATTACTCCAGTAGGAGTAAAAGTATGCCGCTGAAAAGTACAAATGCTTAAAAACATTACTCAACTAAATGTAAACAAGTCCTACCCACCTTGTACATTAAGACTTTTTTAGAGCACTACTCCTCCCCAATCTGACTAAAGCTAAAGATAGTTACAGTCATGTTGCCTTCTTAAACATGTGCTGACTGGTAAACTATTATATTTTGGGGGATTTGTTATTGATGTTACTTGGAAAGCAATCCCAATTCAATTTATTTTATGCACAACTAATAATCTAATTTCATTTGGTGTCTGGCTTGATTCCCAGAAGACAAAACAACGATGGCAAATTAAATTAAATCGGATTTTTACTAAATTAAATCTGATATAACATTTATACAGTTAAGAATAAATCTAGTACAGTGAGGTTTTCAATTACCATCATACGTGCCACTCTCCAGTAAAAGTCCACTCTCCTCCAGGATCCGGAAGTCTCCCACACTGATGAAGTTATAGTCCACCCCCGGAACCTCTCCATCACGAGGGAGTCGTGTGGTACCTGGGACAAAAATAAACACATGGTTAGTCTGCAATGCTCTCCTCAAATAAACTAAACTAGAAAATCTCAGTTTGAGTTTAAATACCTTTATTCAGTGACCTTAATTTTAGTGTATGTGTGTGAGAGAGAGACAGAGTGAATGTGTGAGTGGATAGGAGGGTGCACATGGGCTGGTTGAAAGTGAGGTGGGGTAGTGGTGGGTGGTCGTGATGATATGTTTTCATTGTTTTTGTAAAGGTTGGATGTGGGTGATGATGAAGAAATTATATAAATTTTCTATGTAATACATGTTTTGTTACATGCTATGTATGAAAAGCACTAAATAAAAGTTAGATTTTCTTTGAATTGAGAGACACGTTGACCTTCAGCAGGGCATATCGAGCTGTTATAGACTTAATAAAGCAGATCACTTTTAAATAAGGGGCCTTTAATTTGAGTCAGGGTGCCTTGGATCTTACTTTTTAGTGATGTTTAAAATTAATGTTCTGTACTTGTATCTTTGAGCACATAGCTGAAAAGTCTGTGTACATTTTCTACCCAAAATGGTATCTTTCTAATTGTTTTGTTATTTACTCACTATGTTCAATTCATTAGAGCCTAATTAGATCACAGCCTCAGGGAGATCTACTGCAATCCATCTGCAGGCTTTTTGTTCAAACTGGTCATTCCAGTGTGCCACAGTATAAGACAAACCATCCCATCACACACATTTGTGGATGTTATTATGGTTGAGTGTGTGGTTTCAATGCAAATGACACAAAGACTATCTCAGTTTGGTCTCTGGTTATGCAATGGAACAACAGGCTTTTTTATTGTGGTGGCAAACCTGATCATGAATCTCCACAGAACAAATGGACACCAAATGATTACATTTGCATGATCATTATGTAAACTCTATTCCATGAATAAATAAGCAGGACTGTGACACTTTTGCACTCAAGGCTAATTAGATAGCATGTCACCAAACTTGTAAACTCCATATCAAGGGCCAGCGCCGAATACGAGGCGGGAATTATTTATAGCATGGGAGTCAGGACAAAGCTTAGCATGTGGCTATGCATCACCACTGCATTCCCATGTAATCTCTGTCACTGGAATTTACTGTCAGACATGATATAGGGAAAATTCATTCATTCACTTAGACTGCAGGATGGAGCGCAGGGTCACGGAGGGGAGGGCAGCAGGAGCTAATCTATCTCAACTCGCCGCGGGAGGAAGACGGAGAAACAATCTAAACATGCGACCAGAGAATCACACATGCCACCATAAATATCCATTTGCATTCAGAATAACAATTTACATGTTAAAATCAGCTCAGTCCCAGTAAATCAAAGCCTACAGCACAAACACACACAGAGACAATGCGCCGTCCACACTGAGGAGATTATGAACCGGAGCCAGGGACGTCCTGCCGCGAGATGACTCACAGAATCCGCTATGATATGGCTTTTGTCATTTCTAAACTGGAATAGTGACAGACCTGTTTTCTTTCTTTTTTTTTTTTTTTTCAATTACCAAGGGACTGCACTCACTATTTTATTATTCATTGTAATAGATGGCTTCCAGCAATTCCAACAAATAAAGGTTTAACAGGGGAATTGTATGGACACTAGTCAGTAACACAAAAGGCACACAGTCAAAGCTTAGTGAATTGGAACTCATCAGCTTAAATCTATACAATATAAATATATAGAATACTATTTTTTCCATTTCCTATACTGTAACCAGCTGCACCTTGCTCAATTCATTTTTCCTAAATAATTTGCTGAGATGTCCAGTCTATGAACAAAACATGATCACAACAAATTCTTTCAAATGCAGTTTCCTATTAACTAAATTGACAGTGTATTTATTTTCGTTCTCTTGCTTCTTTTTACCCTCTAAGTGCAGACTTTAGTTGCTCAAACCTGTCCTCTGAAACCCAATTACTCCAGCTACAATTCTGTTTCTGCCAAGTCTGTCCCAGAGCTATCATTTGAGCTGTCAGAGCCATACAGTGTGGCCTGGAGTGTCCTATGGTGGATTCGTCCGATGGCTCATAATAAGGCCTTCCTGTGCTTTGAGGTAATGCCAGGGGAAAACAGAAGATCCTTTAAGGTACTCTCTCTTGAAAAGAAAATGACAAGATGTTTTCCAAGACTGTACTTTAGAGGCATCTTCAAATAAGAAGTTAGAGGCCGGCCTTTCAAATCAAATACCAGATGAAAACAGCACTCACGACTCAAGTGACATGTGCCATCGCTAAAAAGTAACAGACGACTTTTAGTCCATCAGGAAGAAAGGAACACAGGTGCACCGCAGCCACTAGACTATGGAGCCTGGCCAGTCAAGACTACACCCTCTCACTGTACTTGACAAAGAACTTGAATCTGTCCCCACAAATTTTAATAGGCTGAAGTTACGAGCGTCTTAATCAGTCAGATAAATGCATGGTCTGTTTGTGTCAAAACAATCTAGACAGTTTAAGAGAAAAAAAAAAACAGACAGAGAAACAGAACAGATTTCTGCAGAACTGAAGCACTGTGAGGCCAAAGAAGTTACATAATTTTGTTCTGAATGGCACAAGGATATGTGAGAGGAGATGTCTTTCTTCAATAACAGTATTACAAGTTTGTATGCAAAGGGTGATCAATGCTATAGTTTGTCTCAAAATACAAAGATGTTTTGCACATTTTCTTCCATGTATTTTTTTTTTTTTATATTTATGCTTGTTTTGTGGCATGGCTGGTCACACTATAAATAGGCCTATCCATGGTGAACTCACTTGCTCGTTCTTACTGTGCCCCTCCTCACCCTCCGCACACTTGGATCGTGCGCTCATCACCTTGCGCCCTCCACTGCTCTGGCTGCTGCCCGGTGCAGGCCGCTCCATGCCTGCTGTTAGCTGCAGTTAGCCTTTTGTGTTTAACCTGATGGGACTGAGTGTCCTGTTTTCAGCTTTTGTTTGGGGACGTTTGTGTTTTTAGGTAGGTAGGTCTTTATTGCAGACTTGTGGTCTGTAAGTTAGTGATGTCGGCACCAGCTTCTACAGCCCGGTACTGCATCCTTTTATTCTGTTTGACAGGTTCATTGGGTCCACCTTTCTGTGGTAACTTTGTTTTTGGGCATGGGGGAGGTTTTAAGTAATTTACTGTAAATTAAAACAAGTTTAAAAATAAAATGATTTTGTAACTGCTTTGACTCCTGTGTCCTCTTTAATACATGTGATCCACCTGGGTCATAACAAGTCTCATAATCCCATTTAAAGAAATGATTTGAGTAATCACATTTAAGTCAATAAGGTGTTATGACTGTTCTATTGGGATCAGTTCTGCTCTAAGAGGAGGCCACATTGGGAATATTATGTTTGTTGGTCATAATTTCCTGTTCTCTTGTTCAGGATGTACTGCAGCCAAAAGAGGAAAATACAGACCATTTGCAGATCATGACGTATATTGGTGAGTTCAATGAAACCTTGTCCTAAACACACATAAGAGAGAATTCATCCACTTACAGCTTACTACTACAGCTCTGGATAACATTAAAGATACACAATGTAACTTTTACATTAATTTAAAATCTATGACCCCATTTGAGAAACCCTTTCCCCAAAACTCCACTCTCTCACTTCTGAATTTCAGTGCCATGACTCTACTATCCACACATCTCCTGGAAGTCTCCTGACTTCAAAGCTTATAGATCCCACATCAGGGAATTGAACCAGACCTCCCACACCACATTCCTCACATGAATAATGCCATTTCAGGGAACACACTGACATAGATAGATGATGATGCCTTTGTTGCATGACATTTATATGAATTGTGTGTTCAGTTCCTTGGCTTTTGGCTAGTGCAATTGACCCAGAATCACTGTTAATCCTCTTGTGGCAATATGTTTTAGGCATAAATACAGCATGTTGTGCAAAGTAAGAGTGTAATTTATGATTTATTTAAATTATTCAGTACAAAATCTAATGCCATGGTTTGGCAATTCTCATCTGTCTTACGAACTTCCCACTCCTCTATCGATTTTACTGCAATAAGAAAATTACTTCTTCTTGTAGAGCGAAATAGCCACAGTAACAGGCAGCGCACAGATGATGAAAAACCAACAGACATGACCATTACTCAACCAGCCCTGGACATATTGCTCTGTTCCCCACTTTTAATGTCAACTTGGGCCACCAGGTAAATAACACCTAATGATTTTATATGTGTACACCTCTGAAGTGCCCCTAAAGAGGAGCTGTCTGCAAATGGGCTTGTAACAACTGGCAATAATGTAATGGGACCCTGACTCTTGCTCTTAACCTGGAGTAGGCAGGGGGAAGTAGCTATCAAACATCAGTAAGAGCATGTATTGTTTTATATTTGTAACTTTACCATTGGAAATATCAGTTTAATTAATATATTATGATGCTATATCTTCTTTTCTACATGTAAAATTAAAATCATTGAGAGTCGAGGAATGATAATATCTTACCATCTTTGTTCTGTAAATTATACACACACCGCTATCATATAAGTAGAGCCACATATAGAGGCTGACTGGCAGCCAGGATAATTGAAACAGTAGCTGAATAGCACAGGCTATACATTGAATGAATAATGCATTGTAAGAGCTATTATTTAGTACTTTAGCATATACTAAAAATGCTTCACAATTTCATGCCTTATGAAACATGGAAACATGGCTGCCAATCTGTGCCTTCAGCCTTTACTGTCATAATCACTCACATCATATTTATACTTGAGTACAATACTAATTATAATGTCATTCACTCCATACTCAATACTTACTACTTCTCTAGCCACAGCGACCAAAGGGTACTGACGGAAGTGAATCTACCAATACTCTGGTGAAAGGATGGGTGAAGTGCCTAAGCAGGAATAAAGCCACAGACGGTGGATGAGTGTTCCACCTACCGAGCCACTGATGCATGGCTCTATTCAAAATAACTGTATAAGGTGTTGCTTCCTTAGACCTGTCTTGAGTTGGATTAGTGGCCACTCAATGTTGCTAAAGTGAAAAACTCCTTCCTGCCCAGAAAGCATTTTTCCCATACTGCTTGTGTTCAGCTGACAAGCACCCATAGCTTTCAAAAAAGTCAGATTTTGTGTAATTTGTACTTATTTTCAGATACTACTACTGCTACTCACATGATACATGCTTCCTGCGCTCACTCACATGCGTTCTCGTGTGCCTGCGTGGGAGAAGTGCACTACTGCTGATGGTCATGGGCAGGAGAGCTAGCGGATGCACCTAGCCACCTTGGCCCATTCACTTGAATGTTTACGCCCCGGGGCTTGCACTGATGCCACAAATGTCTTGCCCAAAGACACGGCAACATAAAGTACCAAACCAACAACCACAGGGTTTAGGGTGAGTGATGTAATGACTGAGCCACTGGAGTACAGTTGCAAAGACAGATCCAAAGTGGGAGTGTGTGTGTGAGGGCTGGGGAAGGCTGAGGAGGAGTGAGTGATGGAGGTGTCTGGAGCGTGGCTCCAGCTCTCTCACTCATTAAGACAGTAATCCACAGAGCAGAGCAGTACAGAGGCTGAGCAGTGCAGAGGGCTGGACACGGGAGTACAACCTCTGCCACACAATCACAAGACAAACACTGTAGATCAATGCACGGCACGTACTAGTGAAGCTGCTAATAAAGCACACAGAATACAGGGCTTCTCCTACAGGAGAAAGGCCAGTGGAGAATTACAGGTTGCAGTGCGTGTGCAATCAACAGTGACATGAAATTAGTGAAACTCTATACTTTGTCTGGGCATTGTACACGACTTACACATCACCACTCGTTATGTTTATGTGAGGTCAGAAAGGCATGCTAATAGAACATAAAAAAGGAAATCTACTCTCATTATCGCATGGAATGAGCTAAACCACTTAGACTACTGCTGCAATGTTGTGACTGGACACAAAGGTCTTAGGCCACACTCATACTTAACATGAACATTTTGACTATGGTGATGAAATCTGGCATTATTCCTGGACTAGACTTTTTACTCTTCATACATATAGGGAACATATGTATTACTTTTAAATCAGATTTTGGAATATTGTTATGTAAAGCAGCGGGTGGAGATAAGGGGTACATGAAAACAAACATTTTCTGAGCACTCAGTCCTCCAGTGCTTAGAACTTTGAGAACGATAATGATGGAGGAGGGGGGAATTCAGCCTTGATAAAAACAAGGCTGAGTACAACAGTTTACCTTTGAAAAAAATGAGTGACTTTTGTTTACTAGGATAAGAGCAGGGTAATTTTATGTCAATGTCAGGTCACAAGGACTCCTCAGCAGATCAACATTGCATTTGCCGCACACTGTTACTCAAAGCTTAAAGCCAAACTAGGTCATTTATCTGTGGTAAATAGTAGGCTCCATTAAAATGAAAAAGCCAAAAGTGCCCTCTTCATTAAGGTTTGATTGGAAAATATGTCTGTCAATGCATTCTTGTTAAATCGAAATTACTAGTATGTAGTGTTTTTTCTTTTTTTTTTTCACTGAAGTAATTATATAATGAGCTGATGTGATAAAAAAATCAGCTTGCAGTACATTAATACTACTTTTAGTGAGCAAGTTGGATCAAATATTGAATGTGGTGTATTTAGACTGCACGCAAAAAAATGTTTGGATAACTAACATCTTTCACAAGTTAACATGCATTTCCATTTCCAGGCAGTGATATGCTTAATAGTTTGACACCAAACACGCTTGATTACTGAAGGATTTAGAGAGAAATTCCTCTGTGGAAAATATACATTTTTTTTTTCTCAGATACTTCCTCGTTGATTACTGCGCCAGATAACAGTTGATGTTGCCAAGGATGTAGGAGTGTGAAAAATGTATGGCTATTTATGGAGCTAAAACAGCATTGTGATCAGACTCTTGATAAGGCATTGAGTAAATAAGTGCGACAGAGGTTAGGCAGATGTCCTTGGCCTGGTTGCTATGGTGACACTAAAGTATATGTGTGCAGGGGGTGTAGGAGGCTGAGGATGATGGGAAAGCATGAATCAATGACAATGGTGCTTTGTTTGATTGATGCTAAGACATAATGCAAAAGAAACATCTATTATTCTTACTCATATGGCTGATGATAATACATGGACTAATGGGGGCTCCTGTGCATTAGAGGGTAGCTTGGTACTGCAGTGGAGTGCATGATGATGTATTGACAGAAGGAGAATGAAGGTCAAATGATACTGAGTCATGTGGGGTTTGTTTGACTAATGGATGCTTAAACTTATATTGATATCTTGTGGTAAGTTAAAAGTTGCAATGAAATTTATTGTTTACAATTTCTTGTCTACCCCAAAAATTATTTTGGATTGCATTTTAGAAAAAGGCTCTGAGAAGGAGTAATATTGATTTTGCTGTTCAAGCTTTACGCAGTGGTTTATTTCTTTTTAAAATTTGTTATATATTCCCTCTGGTTTAAGTTCAAAATATGAAAAGCTAAACCTTGACATAGCCATTGCAACACACAGTCAGACTCTACATTTTTTAAATAAAAATAATTCTGTTTTGACCATTAATCCTGAAAATATTTGGTTTAAAAAAAGTGAAGACATGTGAAGCTACCCTTGAAGCATGCACATCAGATGATGCACCAAAGACCAGCAAAGTTGTCTTTCATGTTCTTACTTGTAAGGATTTTTTACAATTTGTGTCTATTTTACAATGAAATAATTAGTAGACCTTTGGGAAAATGCAATGTGTCTTCATTTCCTCAGGATGTTGTAGGAAGTCTACTTGAAAAATATTGACTCAAATTATGTTACATGGCAGAAAGACGATATAAACTGCTTAATGCCCATTGATTGAAGCATATAAAGTGGAAAATTTTTAAGGATTAATCCTTTCCAAGCTGTTTAAAAGAGAAGACTATCTTCTACATTCAAGACCAATAGAGAATCTAAGGAGTGTTGAGAGGAGTAGACACACAGACTCAGTAACACAGATGCCGTGAAAGGCACTACTGCACACACTGAATATTCAAAACAAGTGAATCAAATGTCTCCTTCCCAATCATCACACATGCTTAAATGTGCATGGGGCACTCACAGGGGATGGTGCGAAGGTAGAGGTTGTCCCGGATGATCTGCTGGAGTTTGTGGTCCAGAGAGCCCTTCTGGAACTGCAGGCTGAGGTAATGACGCAGGTCCGAGTTCAAAACTTTTCCTGCAAAAAGAGAGACAGACAAGTCAATACAAACTGTGCACTGCGCTGTTTCTGAAAAGCTTTTGACTAAAAGAAAATCCATCGAAGTGACATGTACACTCACACACGGATCGATTGTCGCAAAATACAACTCACTTGAAACACTAAACAGCCACTGTTGTGACATTTCATTTTCCAGAATTAAGTTTTGTTTTTATTTATTTATTTTTAATTCATTCATTCATTATTTAACTATTTGATTTATATAGTGCCTTTTAAGACACCCAAGGTGCTTTACAGTGCATCATTCATTCACTCCACATTCAGTGGTGGCAAGCTCCTACTGTGGCCACAGCTGCCCTGGGGTAGACAGACCAAAGCAAGGCTGCCAATCTGTGGCATCAGTCCCTCCGACCACCAACAATCATACACACCACATTCATACTAGGCAATTGTTTTAATTAAATGTTTGACTGATTAGTTAATTAGACCATCTCACACACATTGGTTGTTGGAGATTTAAAGCAAATTACAAACTTTTGTTACTTATTTCAGGATTATTAACAATAGACTTTTCTATCGTATTTATTTGTTTACCATTTAGCAGTATTAGTCACCTATCATTGAAAGCCAGTTGGAGTCCAAACAGTTTTTTCAGTATTTAGGGTCATTAAGGCATTAATCAAAAGCATTGGATTTGAAAGCATTGAAAATATGACATGATTTGTCTTCTCTTTAAACCAGCGTCAGTCTCACAGCATGCCTTCTACCTGCTGCCCTGAACATGTCCTGCTTGTGTTCTGAGATGACCTTCTCCCACTGAGAGCTTAAGTCCCTGTTGATTTTGTGGTTTGATCAGCACAGGGAGATTGCAGTGAGGTTAGGCCTTATAAGGTTAGATAGATTCAAGTCCACACATGGGTAAATACAAATTTTGGGTCCAGCCTTGGAAAACCTATTGAGCTGTTTGGTGCAAAATGAAGACGTATTTCACACAAAGGTTAGTTAATTGCAGGTTTGACATATGGGCAGGGTACTTGAGAGAGACCATTTACTCCTACAGATGCAATTTAGATTCACCAATTTACTTTGTTAAGATATTTTAGCCTTACAAAAGTGCTGGTCTGTGTAAAAAGTACACTTATGATTGTTATTTTGCAACCTCATCTATTGTCATTTAGAAGACGAAGTAGATTTCCCTAATCCTACGCACAAAACATTCTCGTTATTCAATGCTGGAACCTCTGGAAATTACACTACAGCATGTTTTAATGACAATCTTCAAATGTATGCAAAGTTTGAAAGCTAATCATTTGAACATTTGTAAGTTGAGGGGGTAAAACTTTACTCTAAAAGAATACATGCTCACAGAAAAGTTGTCAATGTGGATTCAAGCAGTGCAAGTTTTCTATTCCGCTGAAGACAGTTAAAACATTTGGCAGCTCAGAAGTAAACCCATTTTAACCTCACTCCTCTGTCTTTTCTGCTAGTCTGTCTGCATTGTGCTCCGATACCAACAGAATATAAATCAGTCACACTCTAGTATAGATCCTACTGCGAAATTGGAGTTCAAACAAAAGCTTGATACATTCTTATACATAGAATACAGCCAAGTTCTTTTCTGACAGATATTTTGGACTTTAGGGAAAATTGTTTCTAAATGAAGTAAACTGACTGAAGATGTCATTCTGTCTGTATTGAGTGACATCCCAAACCATTACTACTACAGTATATTGTAGTTTTTATTTCCTCTTTAACAATCTCTCTACTGGGATCTCTCCACAGTCTGAAAACAGTCAATTAGCTTAACCTCATCCAAAATAGTTGTTGTAATTGTGAATTAAATTGAAAGCGTCTGTTGGCAATGAACCCAAAACAAACCGCTATGTTCCACATATTGACGCCATCCAGCGGTAATCCCAAAGTGCTCCTTCCTACAATTTGGAAGCCCCCCAATTTAAGATCTTTTGGTCATTTCAAAAAATGTTTGAACATTAGGAGCAGCTAAGTACAAATGCTTTGAGTTAGTTAGGGAATTTCAGTTTAATGCAGACATTGCATTCATCAATATTTTACATTTTCTTTGTTGTAAACAGCAAAGCCACAGAAGTTGTAGCTTTTGTAGGGTGTGTATTCAAACATGAAGCTGCTTCATCATGCTGTGTAGACATCATTTTGCTTTCTCAACTTGACACTCTGGAGTTTTTGGAGGACAGCATCGCCTCATATCAGAATGCCTCTCATGTCCATGGTCCTGTGCCATCTGTGCCATTTTAGAGGCGTCATCCCAGCGGGCTTGTCTTGTAGAATAAAGGTTGCTCTCGGTCTACCTCTCCAAAAACAGGGCACATCACAGCTGGTCTAACTCACAAACACACACAGACCGGGGCACCGAGGACCAATCTGGCAACTTCATCTGCAAACTGGCCCAAAATCTCCTTTTTGTTCAATTTCAGCAGCGTCACAGGGGAATGCACAGGGTAGCAGGCCTGTTTCAGCAAAGCATGTAGACCATATGCTTTGAGGAGAGAACTACTGTGCACCCACAGGGGGAGATAACAACGTGCATTCAATGCAGATAGAGTTCTGCTCCTAAACTTAAAAAAAAAAATACAACAGTGTGAAATGCTCATGATCGTAAAAGTCAGTCACAGTCAGATTGAGACAGGAATAGTCCCAAAGCTTTACAAAAGAACAACACTGAACAACAGTAGCTCACTCTGAACACTGATGTGCCGTAAATAGCTCTTTGGTTGTCCAGGACATCAGATCTATTTTATTTCTCTGTAATTATCTGTATGATGTTGTTTAAACGGTTTAATCAGTTAAAATTATAATGACTGATTGTATTTCTAATCATATGATGACAGCCAAACAAGGCAAATAAAAAACAAAAAATACTCTTGCAAAAAAGCATTTTTGAACTGGAAACATGCAATATTTAAGCTGATATCTAAAAACATCTATAGCTCTGTTCAAAATAAATGTACACTCGCTTGCAAATAGCCTATAACCAAACCTGCCTTCAAGTCCAAAAGATTGTCATACATGTTTCCCCACTAACTTTGAATCTTCTAAAACAAGACTTATAAATAGGGCTGTAAGTCTTTAGTCATTTAGTCGATTAATCGGTCAAATTTAGGAAAGGTATAATGAGTAAGTCAGCTGAAGATTTGGGAGTGAATCATGAGTTTGATCTGAATTTACTGTTTCCCAATTCTTCTCTGTATAAATAGTTGTTTTGCTCCCCAAGTTTGGGTCAGATACAGGGTCACAAGTCATAGATACTGTGTTACTTTTAGTCCACCAAGGATTTCTTTAGTTGACTACAGCTCTATAATAAAGCATACATTTTAAGTACTTGTATTATGATAAAACAGATGAGATGAACATGTAGCAGCACTCAGCGTCCCTGTGTTAATGGGACTTCGTCAGTGTGTGGATGGAGTACAATGGTACTTGGGTCTGTGTGCCTCTGCTCCTGTCAAGCCTGGTTACTGCTGCTGTCACATCACACCACCCCTCGCTCCGTTCCCTCAGATAACACTGCCATTGTAGTGAGCCCCATTTTTCTCTGCTCAATGGGCTCTTTTGTGCCACTCGCTTGTACTATTTTTTCTCAACACCCTGTTCGGAAGATAAATAGATGCTTGAACTTCTTTTACATTATATGGTTGATTATCACTCTTATGTCTATCTCCACTGTGTTTTAAAGAGCCCTACAGAAATATAAGCGAACCTGGGGAGATCTATGGTGATATATAACGCTAAAATGTAGATGTTATATATATATTTATTTATTTTTCAATTTTAAATTTTTAAAAGTGAACATGCAATGTTTTGTGGAAAGTCTGTCACCCGCATTGTTAGAGTATGTTAAACCTGTTCGTTTGTTTAATTGTGTTGTTATTGCACTGAAATACTATATTTTTACTGTAAGTGGGGTCACCTCTCCAGAGATCTGACCTCTAAGTTGGTCTGGCACCATCACCTGACTGTCTCCATGAAGACAGACTTGTAGACAAAAACATGGGGCAGACAATCTACCGGAAAAGCTGAACCTTTAAGAGGACCGTTATTTGTCTCACCATTTTGTATTTGTTTTTTAATTTGCATTTTTTTTAATTCAGCATCTGTGTTAATTGGTTGGTTTCATACAGTGTGCAGAGAAAAGACTGGAGATGTGACTGTCACCCACTTGAAGTGCCAGTGCCGACAGCGCATCACTGACAGAGCACATATTACATTAGCACTCCCCACTCCAGCCACAAGTGTCACTCACACACAAGCACAGGGAGGCACAACCATTTAAAGACATGACTTACATCGATCTTATTCACAAGCCAGACTATGTAATCGTGTTCTGATCATAGACTGTAGATGGACATGGGTAACCCGCCAGCTGCCAAGTCCCCCTTCTCTCTCCGCTACACTAAGCCTTGTCATTTTGGTCTTAAAATGTTCTTATTAACCCACTTTACATGATGCTAGTGTTTTATGTTTGTTTTATAAGTAAATAAATTCCTATTCCTAATATGGATGTGGCTCCAAATTCACCCCGTAACTGCTAGCCTCGTGAGTTTCATTTGACTGGAGACGAACATTATAGGTCCCCTTCTTTGGATTAGTTTAGTCTAAAGAGTTAGTTTAGTCCTGTTCCAGTCCTGGTTTAGTCCTGATCTAATTCTGGTTTAGTTTGCAGTTTTGATGTGATGAGTGTCCAAGAGTTAATGCATCCTAAATCTCTGTTCACCAAGAGGTATTTGATTTGTGGCACTGGCTCATAAGGAAATATATTGAAATTGAACTAAAGTTTTATGACTGATGACTGGAATGTAATGAAAATGCCATTCCTCCATTAGAGTTGCAAATAATTCATTGATTTATTTACGATTACAGGAAAACAGGTAAACAAAGCTTATCCATAACTCAGAATTTTATGGTAAGAGTCATGACCTGATTGTGCAATTATTCTGGCAAACCATTTCCTAATTTACTCCCTGAGGTCGTGAGTCTGCAAT